GGAATTCATAGGCATGAAACAATTTGTTTAAAGCTTAGATTTCTTTTAATCCAATAAAACCACAGTGACTTAGAGCTACATATGAAAAGCACAAAACATGTATTGTCTGAGCAAGCTGCTCATATCAGAATCACCTAGAACAAACAAGTAAGAGAATGTGAACTCAGGCTGCAAAAGAGTAACTTATTTTTTTCCTATGCTGGGTATATAAAAGAAGAACGAGGCACACATATCTGATTTTCTTGTGAAAGCAATGCTGACTTTTTCAAAGGAAGCTTTTAACCAGGTAGTACAAATGCACATTTCATCTAAGGCACTTACATTGTCCATGATCATCATCACCATACCTGAGCACCTCAAAATTTCTTCTTTGCTCTGTTAATCATCACTCCCTGTGGGAAGATTCTGGTGGCCCTGGCATGATTAGCAGTTAAAGACGCACAAAAATAAAAGCATAAGCTCAAAAATGCGCTTTGCAACATACACACATAAACTTGTAAACAGTTTTCTTAGAAGAAAATTCTATAGGTGACTGCTATTCTGGATATATTTTAGGTGCAAAACCATCAAAGCTGGCTCTGTTCAATCAGGTCAAGTCTTGGAACAAACCAACACCAAATTAATTCAGACTACTAAACCCAGACAGGAGTTCCTTACCATTACACAGTCGTTCAAGCCCCAAACTGGTATCTTTCACACTGCTCTGACCTGTATTTCCTGCCGGAGAACACTGCTCACCTAAACCGGGCTCATCCTATAGTCTGGATCAACCTTTTGGAAAATATTTTGGTGTCCTTATGCCCCATGCATGTAAGAATCCTTCAAGTCAGGATTCATGAGAAGATAAAAGAAGCATAAGCCTCATCTTGCCAGACCTTGGATACAGCTAGAGTCAAGTCCTGGGACTTGCTCCTAAAGTTCAAAGTGTAGACCAAGTCTAACTTTGTGCAAGGTCTCACAAGGAATTGGTAGCAGGTGGAGATCTCTATTGAGGTCTCAGATTAGCATTTTAACTACAGGAATAGTTTGTGTGTAGCTATTGTGGATACACCAATTGTGTTCAAAAACATGAATCAGTGCTTGCCAGTTTCAGTTATTTTTCTGTGGTTTTATAAACTACCCTCTGGTACAAAACAGGCCTTAGCAACGTTGACAGATCATAACAAAGACCAAGTGGCTGCCCTGAGATCCAGAAACAGATGAAAGTTGAAAAAACATCCCTTACAATAAAATAAAAACACTTAAAGAAGTCAAAGAGTTATACAATGCCAATCAACTGGGGGCGGAAGCAATTTATCCACATATTACTATTTGTGAGATCTGAGAGGAAAAAACAGAGGATGTTTCCAGCAATAAAAACTCCTTGAACTTGCATGAACTTGAATTGATCTAAATGAATAATCCTATTAGATCCTCTTAACTTTGGCCAGGATATAATTACAAGGATTGGAGACAGCAGGACCGAAACTCAGTGGGGGTCTGTCTGCTCCATTTGAAGGAGATTTCCTATTGCCCAGGGCATGCAGGAGGACAGAGCTAATTTACAAAAACACACTTGGCAACAACAAGAAATGGATTTTACATAGAAATGACTCGATACACCTAAGACTTCAGCTTGGCAAAAAGACAATGGCAGGGGACACCACAGGTCTGTCAAGGCATGATTGCAGGTCAAGGCTGAACAGGAAACAATTCCTCATCGGCTCCCAAAACAGGAACTAGGAGCTGGGGTTTGAAAATAACCATGAAGCAGAAGGTTCAAAAACAGGAAAGAAGTGGTCTTCTTTCAAGCAGTCATGAAAGTTATAATCATGGGATGCTGCATACATACAATTTACCTAAATTTAAAAAGCCTACCAGCCTACTTTAGGCTGTCAAATATAAAGGTAAACACAAAGACATCACTTCTTGCTGAGGAAATCCCTAGCTGAACCAGTGAGATGGGAGCTGGGAAATAAGTCATAACTATGCATACTTGTTTGACCCATTATTTTATATTCCCCCTAGACAAAATGTAGTGGGTCAGACAGGTTTCTGATCCTGCCAGGCCCAGGCACTGAAAGAGACTATGGGATCTTTGACCTCTGCAGAGTACATACCCAGAATTCAGGCAACCCTCCAAGACAAAAGTGAAGGTAGGTCATTTGAGAGAAAACAGTGAAACCAACTCATTTCCTTTCCTTCCCTTTCATGTCCAAAGACTGAGAGTTTCATGGTGCACTCTCTAAGGCATAGGGCAGTCTCTTCTACTCAAGTTGACCCAAGAAAATGGTTACTGCTCTGTACATTTTCCCAAAATGAATGCTACTTAATTAAAGAAATCCTTGTTATCTTCTTGCATGAATCTTACTCTGACAATTGCACACAGGCACTTAGGATCACCTATACATTGGTAATAATAGCTATCACAAATCCCCATGAGCACACCTCAATGCAGTAAAACCAGCAAGCCACTGGGGAAAAATGTCACTACTGGTTCCTGCTTCACAAATCACAAGTATCAGATGTATCAGCTGATGAGGAAATAGGAAATTTTTAATACAACCATTTGATTTAAAATCTAAAAAATATTCTGAGTCACAGCGAGGTTAACATTTCCTATTCCCTCTAGAATACCTTAAATATAGATTATTTATTACCAAGCAGTAATACACACATCTTAAATATGTGAAACAAACAGAAACAGCAGATAAAAGAAAATGCACTAAGAGACAAGACACAAAAGCACAGAACCAACATTTTCATGTTGCAGTTCCCTGCCCTCACACCGACTCCCTACACTGCCTTGAAAAAAAAAATAATTTGAAGCATGGAGGCAACAAGTGATGTTCATAAAATGGAGGCAATGCCACTTCATCACAATCTCACGAGGATAAACTGAGGATTGTGAAATGTCTGGATAATACAGGATCGAAGGTCACACAGAAGCCAGGTAAGAGTGAGAAACATGTTTTAACTAGCACTGAAAGTATTTTATTACCCATGCAGATGGAGCACTCCTGTAGCCTTAGTCACCAAGTGAGATCCAGTGAGGCTGCCAAGGAAAAACTGCGTGTGCCTGTTCACTCTGTGAACAAGGGTGGGATGGCAATAATGATATTCTCATATTAAATAAAATGAATGTAATATCCATACTTTTGTGTGCTGAATGCACAGCAGGTTTTGGGTTGGTGGTTTTTTTTAATGCAAAAGGAAGCTTGAAGGCTCTTCTCATTTAATAGTGCCACAGAGATTATCAGGGCACTGTAGTATCAAAAATTTTGTTCACAGCAGGTAAAATTCACACCCTGCAGTGAACCAACAAAAGACCACTTAAACCCTAATTTCAGCCTTCATGGTTGAGCCAGTGACATACTTCTGTTAGTACTACATGGGGATCGTTTTCTGGATCAGAATATTAAAAGCACTTGTGCTTCAACTGCATTTCTTTCAAGACGTTTTTTGTTTCCCACAAAAAAAGTCAAGCGAATCTATTATAATTTGAAGTCCAAACCAATCTCTTTTATTTACACTTGTTGATGCAAGTAAAACTAGATCGTGGCACACCCCAGTATTTCCATGATTTTTAAAATCATGGAAACATACACAGTTTGGCTGCTTAGTTTTTAAAAAAAATGTATCACGTTCTGGTTTTTTTACCCAAATATTTACGAAGATATACTATATTCAGAGAGCGTTCTCTTCTATTACAGACTTCACCATTTCTGAGTCAGTCAACAAGCCATCAACAATATCAAATAGAGAACATGGTAAGTATTAGAAAGAGAAATTTCAGTAAGTAAACGTGAGATGACCTGCAAGCACTAAGGAAAGGAAAAATTCGGTTTGCTGATAAAGCCATGCCTTCCATAATTAGTTGCAAGAAAAAAATGGTTCCTTAAAAGGAAGGGTACAAAAAATATACATCGAAGAGTAGGGCAAAGGACGGTAAAAGTCAGCACCAAGTACCAGGGTTCTGCTCTTTTCTCTGGTATAAACACAGGCAAAAATCAAGGATGTTAAAACTCAGTCTCTGTCTCCTGGAGGCAATCTGCAGGATCGTCCCTGCGCCTACCGAGCTTCCGCTGGAATAGTGGAAAGTTGGATCTGTAACAAAGATTATTTTTCCACCAACAGTTTAATTTTAGAAAGGCGCCAACAAAAGGCACCGCTCTGAACACCCCGAGCGCGTTCCTTCCCCTCCCGAGCCATTTCAGTGTCCGCTTCCTCCCGGAGACACGATGCCGTGGCACAACCACGGCTCCATTCGGCTGCTTTAGCCGAACAAAACGCTCTTCCTGCCTGCAAAAAATAAAACAACAAAAAGCCCAACCACCCAACCAACCGATGCCATAAAAAGGCAGGAAACCAGGAGCACGGAGGGAAGGGCCGGCGTGCACATGAGCCCGCACCGCCGCCCTCCCACCGCGGACCCGGCGCCGCCGGTACTCCGCACACCCGCGAACGGCGGCATTTCTGAACCCAGGCTCCAGCACCGACACCGGGGCTGTGACGACGCCGCCCGCCCTGCCCCGCCATGGCCGCCGCGCCCGCCCGCCCGCCTGGAGCTGCCCCACAGCAGCCGCGGTCGCCTGGGCAGCGCGGCCGCGGGGCTCCGGCGGGGCTCCAGCACAGCTCCCGCCCGGCGCTCTCCCCGTCCCGGCCGCACCTGTCCGGTGGTTGCGCGGTCCGGGGCGGGGAGGGCGAGCGAGCGCGACGGCACCAGCGACGGCGGGAGACAATGGAGGAGTGAAGGACGGACACATTGACACACCGGCGCCTCCGCCCGCCCGCACCACTCCCGGCACCGCCCCGGGGGGGACGAACGAAGGAGCCGCGGAGAGAACCAAAAATGGGAGACAAAAGAAAAGAGTAATGCATTTCTGAACTTGAAAATAAGGGGCAGAGCAGAGGGACTCCTTCTCTCCGACAGCAGAGGCTGGGAAGCTGGCGGAGGACGAGAGTCTGGCATGCAGAGGCCCCCATCCCTGGGCAGGAATGGTTCGCCCCACGGCCGGCCCCGGCAGGGCGGGGCTGCGGGCGGAAGGCTCCGCGAGGAGCGGGTGGGGGCGGTGCCGCGGCTGGGGGTGCTGCTGGAGCCGTCCCGGGCTGATCCCGCCTTACCGTGCGCGGGGGCCGCGATGGCTCCCCCCAGGAAAGGTGACTTGAGCGCGGAGGAGAAGGACTTGCTGGCAGTGATCGCCACAGGTGAGCCCTCCCGGCCCTCGGCGCTCGCGGCCCCGGGCCGCAGCTCCCACGGGCCCCGCTGGTCGTGCCCCGGGAGGGATTTCGTGTCCTCGCACGTTGGGGGCGGTGGGTGAGGCGCCGTTAGCGGCCGCTCGCCGCGGACTCCCCTCGGCCCTGGCCGCCCTCCTCACGTCCCGGCGCTGAGGGCCGCCCGCCTTCCCGCCCCGCCTTCGGGCCGTCGCCCTTGTCCCTGCCGGGGAGAGTGGTTTACCGTTCCCGTGGTTTACTTTCCTCTCGGGCAGGCCCACGGCACCCAGCGAGTGCAGTGGGGGCCCCGTTGCGGTGCAGTCGAGCTGGGGAAGCTCAACTGGGCGGGTCTAACTGCCAAGGAAAGCTTGCATTTTACTGATAATGTCTCTTGATATTTGCCGAATTATTGCTGTTAATGTCCACTGCCAAAAAGAAAAAAATTTTCTTGGAGATAATCCAATCTTCTCGCGTGCTGTAATGTTTTCCCCACGTGCTGTTGCCAGACCAGGGCATCTTTGCAGACACGTTATTCTCACGTGTCGAGAACTTGAGCTTGTTTGGGATGTTGTGCACCTCTTATCCCTTATGATGTTCTATTTTGCTATCGCTTGTACCATCTTGTACTGTCCTGTTAGAGACAGGAGAGGGGGTCAAGGCCTGAAGGAAGGGTGTCAAGATGATGGAGCCAGGCTCTTCCCACTGGTGTCAAGCAACAGGACACGGGGCAATGGGTAGAAACTGATGCACAGAAAATTCCACCTGAATAAGAGGAAGAACTTCTTTGCTGTGCAGTTGACCATGCATAGGAGCAGATTAACCAGAGAAGTTGTGGAGTCTCCGACACTGAAGATACTCGAGAGCTGTCTGGATGCAGTTCTCTGCCATGTGCTCTAGGATGAGCCTGCTTGAACAGGAAGGTTGGACCAGATAACCAGACTATTGTGGTACCTTCTAACCTGACCCATTCTATGATTTTGCATTTCATGTCAGTGTCACAGTTTCATCACACTATCTGGCACGAAAGCTTGTTGCCAGGGGAACTTTCTGTCATTTGGGTTTCCTGGTCCAGCAATGTGAATTTCTAGTTACCCTCTGACTGGTATTTTGAAAATCATGAGCAACATTCATTAGTTGGAGGTAAACTAAAAACACTTTGTGTTCCATACACTTCTATATGTAGTTTCCAGGCAATTTGAACCCATGAAAGTTCTACTACATTTTGGTGGTTCACTCTCAGTTGTATTAAAATGTTCCTGAGAGTCAGAGACACAAGCATAGTACAGTCAGCAGTGAATTTACTGTGGACCACAGCCAGTTTGATTTACTCACTTTAATAAGAGTTTCAGACCTTAGTCTTGCAGACACCTCTGTCTAACTTACCTAATGCTTCTGATTAGGGTCACGGGATAATTCAGGTTGGAAGAGGCCTCAGGAGGTCTCTAGGCCAGCGTCCTGCTCAAAACACGTCAGCTGTGAGGTCAAATGTGATTGCTCAGGGCTTTATCCCATCAGGTCTTGAAAACTTCCAAGGAGGAGGGCTGTACAGTTGTTCTGGGCAATCTTTTTGCTTTACTGTGTTCATAGTGTTCAGCTGCTGCTTGTTACCTCTTGGCTTCCTCCCATGCTACCACTATGAGGAGACTGGCTCCAACTTTTAGCTCTGGCCAATTCTACAGGTCTAACTTACATCAGTTTAGTGTCTTGTTAAAAACCCTTAAATATTTTGTCATACAGAGCTCTGAGTTTGTAAATGCAACTTTGCTGTTCTTGTATTAAAATTTACTTGAAGATCGCTGCTTGAAAATTTTCTCTTACTGATGTTTGTTCTTTGGCTGGGATATTCTTCTGAGAACTGATCTCCAGTTCTTAAAAACATGTTTAGAATATATATATGTCTGGGGGAGTAAAGTAGTGGATGGTTCCTGACTGTCAGTCAGGGGTCTTTATCAAGTGTGTGAGATGACTCAGGTGATTGTCTTTTTTTCCTTAAATTAATGAATTAAAAGAGAAATGGTTAAAGCCCCTGTAGTGTAGTTAAACCACATGAAAAAGCCTTGTGAAAATAAATTATTTTCAGTACTTTAATGGGATTTTTAGCCAAAACTGAAGTTGCAAGAGCTGTTTTGCTGAAAAATTGCTGGATGGCTACCTCCTTCTGAAAGAGTGGAGATAAACATGAAAATCATTAATATAAGGGATGCATGCTTATTTTTATTAAGCACATCACTGCTGAAAGAGCTTTGCTTATGATTGAATCAGAAATTAGAAGTTTATGTTCATTTGCAATAAATTCTCCAAACTCAGACTCTTGGAATGTTCTTTTATTTCTATTTGTGCCTGTAGAAGCTGCATGGGCAATATCTGAATAGTTTTCCAATGGGCTTTATATCAGGTTCTTATACCTGTGGCTTAGCCAAAAGGATTTTGGTAAGAAATTGAAAAACAGTAGGACAGTAGAATTGAAAAATAGATGTAGCCTGTTTTTCCTGGCACATTTTTTTTCAGACTTTAGTCTACTTATGCGTTTGGCAATTTTTAGAAATGTCAATGATCAAGCTACCTGGGTCTTTGTCCTTTCTATCTCTGTTCTCTATTACCAATAGCAAATTCATTCCACTCCTCAGAATGTGATATGTTGCAAATTTCAAATTGAAACAGGAAAAATTATGTGAATAAATGATAAAGTATGTTTCATTCAAAACAAAAAGTCTTTGAAGTGAGGTAACTTCTTTTTTTTTGAGAATGTAGAAAGATCTTTTAGACAAAAGATGCTCCAAAAGAGCAAAATGTGTTAAAATGCTCAGTATCATTATGCTCATTAGGAGCTGTTCATGTGCTGTTTATGATGAGACATGTGAGTGTCCCATTCCTCTATGTGTAGGTCAGTTACTTAACAAAAAATGGATGTTTACTTGTAGTTCATGCTTTCCAACTGCTCTTTGATGTTGTGAGTTCTTGCCTTTTGGCTTTTAGAATATAACTGCTAAGCTTCTTCACTAAGTGCAGTTACTTCACTGGTGGTTAATCTACATCCCAAGCAATTTACATACAAAGGTTTTGATTCTAATGAGAAATGGAAATTACCGTTTTCCTCCAGATTCTCAGTTTACTCTATTTCTCACTCCCTTTTCCTTGTGTCTTTTTATTTTTAATCAAAGGAAACACCGAGGAGGCTGGAAGGCTACTGGGGAGCAAGAATGTCCGTGTCAATTGCCTGGATGAGGTACTGCAAAACTGTGCAAGCTTTATGCTGAGTTTAATAAGGACAGTGCTAGGTGTGAAGGCCTTCATGTTGTTAAATAACATTGTTCTATCAGCAATTGCTATAGCCCTGAAAATCAGAGTTACTCTCAGGTTTTTTCCAGCCTGCAGCTGAATAATGAACCTTTGAAGAGCTCTTACTGTTTTTTTTAATAAAGTTTAAGGATTAATGTTACTTAAAGAACTGCATTGTATTTTGTCTCAAGTTCCAGCATGAGCTTTGTAAGGAAAGATAAACACTGCAGCAAAACAGGTGAGGGTGCTCTTTGACTTCTTGTCACCTTCACAAGCAGTAGTCCCTCTGCTTAGTCCCTGTGTGGCAGACACAGCATTGCCTAAAGCCCTGTCTTTGCCAAACCATAAACATACTTGGAAGGTGAGTAGCTCAATCAGAAATGAAACACAGCCTTTTATGCAGGTGGGTGTGGTAAACATGTAGAAGATTAAATCCTGAAGTGCTACCTGAAGATGGGAATAAGTTTGTGGAGAAAGGAACGTTATGTGATGTTCCTGTTTCTTCTTCTTGTTACAATGTTTTTCTAAAGCATGCAACATTAATATGAAATGTAACACACAAGCAAAACTAATTCCTCATCGTGCATGTTAAATCCATGTGTAATTTATCAATTTAAATGTTAATTTGTGTTTTTTTCACAGCTTTATAATTTCATAGGAATCACTGGGAAATTCTGGTGGTGTGTTTAGTTCAGCCTCTGGCTCAAAGCAGTTTCAGCTCCAGGGTCAGACGAGATTGCTCTGAGTTTTGATCTGTTCTGGCCTTATAAATCTCTAAGGATGGAGACTGCACAATATTTCTGGGCAACTTGTTCTACTCTCTTACTGTGATTTTGGTGAAAAAGTGTTTCACTTATGTCTGAACCTCAGCTTAGGCTCAGTATCTCTTGCCCTCCTACCACCGTAAGTGAAGAGTTTGTCTTCTCAATGATCTCCCTGTCAGCTCGGGCAGGCTGCTGTTGGGTCCCCCCAAAGCCATTTCTTCTCCAGGCTGAGCGAGCCCAGCTCCTGCAGCATCTCTTCACTGTGCTCAGGTTCCTACCGTGTAGTGGTGGTACTCCATTGATTTTGGTACAGTTTATCCATGTCTTTGTTGCACTGGAAGGCTCAAAATGGCACAGGGTTTACTGTAGATGTGGTCTCATGAATGCTGAATGGAGAAAAATTGCCACTTCTTTTTTTCCAGATAGCTTCATGGGGTATTGCTAGCCTTTTTTTTTCTGCCAACAGATCCATTTTTGGATTGTTCTTAAGTTAAATACTAAACTTGAATTTCTGTCGTATGAATTTCAACAAGTTTCTGTAAAACATCTTTACAGTGAACTTTAGGAACCCAAGACACAATATAAGTATGCTTGCAAGTGTGCTTTACTGTATGGACATCAAAAGGTTTTCCTTAAGTGAAGTCGTGCTGAATGATGGCAGCCTTGCTGCAGTATTAGTGCGACATCCAGGATTAATGTTGAAAGTATGCAGCTTATTCAAAGAAACCATATCCAAGTTGTGCCTCAGGCTATTGCTGTAAAAATAGTATTAACAGTATTTGCCTAAGGCTCACATCTGACTAAATATACATAAGGCTCATAAAACTTTAAAAGTTTATGCAATGGACTTCTTGCAGACTCCTTTTTATCCCCAAGAATGATGTGTAATCATGCATATTAAACAGGAGAGTGTTCAGGTTTGGTTAGGTTTTTTAAATCCATCAGCTATGTCAGCTTTACAATTTTTCTTTCATAACCCATTTTTGCTCCAATGTGTTACTCTAATATCTATATACGAGTAAGAGTGTGTGAAATCCCAGTTAAACATCAGCCTCATCTGTTACTTGTTGCCACATCTGGAGACTGCTCTCAGTACATCAGGTCTTATTTTTTTTCTCTGTTGCCTTAGCTGCTTATCTGAAACTCACATTTATATTACTCATTTATATTACTACAGTTACTTCTTTTATTCTGTGGATTCTCTCGTGTAAAAAAATCTTTAAGAATGGAAATGAGTTCCTAACTGAATTGAGCTCCCACTTCAATACCTAAGTATTCCATCTTCAGGGCTTCCTTACTTATTAATAAAATAAGTTTAATGTAATTCTGTCTTCTAGCTGTGGTACAGCAAGCATGCAATCACAATTCGATAATTTGAGGCTGAAGAACTCACAGCATCCAGCAACAGACTGGTATATAGTGCACTTCCTAATTAAAAAAAAAAAAAAAAACACATAATCTGTTCCTTTCATTTTTGGTTTTACCGTATATTCTAACTGCTTGGATCCACTTTCTTGTAGATTAAAAACTACTAACAATCAGTTATGTACCTTTAGATGAGGACCAAGTCACATTTTAAGATCTTCCACATGCAGTGACCTTTTAAGTATCTTGCCTAAAGTTATGTTTCTGCAGCAAGTGAGCTATAACAGTGGCTCTTCAAATTCTTTCCAACTGTTTTGGCTTCTTACTTTAAAAACGTATATATGAGCTAGATGCAGTATTTCGGCATCGATTCTGCTGTTGGTACGTATATTTCAAAATAAAAAATTATTCCTCTAAGTGTGCTTGCTTTTCCTGCCCTTGTTCCAAGACTCCCTCATACCCTTAACCGCCTGCTGTCTGCCAAGCTCTGCTGGGTGTGTCAGCACAGAGTAGGATCCCTTCACTCCTGTGAGTTTCCCAGATGCCCATCTTCCAGAAGGTTGGAGATATCCAGGAGATACAGTCCCGTTTTTTCTCAGCACCCTTTCTGAGCAAATTAATTGTTTTATTGTTTCTTTGTGGATTTAGGTAGACGAAGAAAGGAAGAATATTTAGGCTTAATCACTGTCTTTATGAAAACAAAGAAATGCACTGGTCCTTAAAGGTTTTACAATTTTAAAACTTCAGGGACATTTAAATTCAGGTGTCCTCAAACATTAGGACAAATACATTGGCTATAGAAATGGATGTAAAATAAACACAAATATATTTAACTTAAGTGCACACTGCTTAGTAATTTTTTGTCCCATTTTAAATGGAGTGGTTGTGAATTTGGAAATTTAGTATGGGAGTGTATTGGTTTGAAAGCAAAACCAGTGAGAGACTCTAAGTCAGTAATACAATTTAATAGGAAAAAAGAGAAAAAATAAAATACATGCAATAATACAAAAGAAAAACCACCGATAGAGTCAGAAATACAACCTGACACCCTGTCAGTCAGGGTGTTGGTAGCAGTCCGTATAAATGGTGGCTGCAGTCCTCCTGGATGACGGATGTGGTTCAGTTGAAGCAGTGCTCCTGTAGAAGGTGCAGTTTTCCTCTGAAGATCCAGCGATGATGTGGAAAAAGCCTGACTTTCCTCTGGGATCCAGTGGAAAGGTCTGTCTTCGTGTCCCAAACCCCAGTTTTTTATCTAGGTAGGAAAGGCTTGGCTCCTCTCCCTGGCTGGAGCATCTCCCAATGGGGTGATGTAATCTTATCAGTCACACAATAGGACTTAATGGCCCATTAACAGAATATATCTTCTGGAGGAAGGATGGGTTGTGAATAGACAACGATGATCATCCCCCCATCTTATCAGATGGCACATCAGCAGAGGATATCTCCCACAGAGATAAGGATCACCACCCCTCCCACATTTCAGCACGTGGTGATAGAATACACATTTTTGCATTGTACCCCAGGACAGGGAGAAAGTGTTCAGGACTTTTCTTTCCCCTGAGAGTGCAGAGCTTGTAAATAGTATGACTTTGTCAGCACTTTGTTGACTTGAGCTTCATCTGCAGCATGTGGCTGAAATATTTCAGATTGTTATAGAAAGGCAGGCTCAAGGAAGGCTTTCCAGCTGTGGAAGTTTCCTTTGGTCCTATTGGTAGTTAAGGTTGCAAAGGAGCACTGTAGTTACTATATGCCCTATTTTCTGCAGATTAAGCTAATAGACTTGACCTAAAAAGTACATGATTTTTCTCTATTTAAAATAACTGTAAGGTTGTTCATAATCTTCTTACATACAGAACTATCATCTGGCATTAGTGGCATTACTACTTTCCTCTAGTTTGGTAATTCAACTGCTCAGTTCCGTAATACATCATTTAAAAACAGTCCCTTTCTCTGTGCTACAGAACCAAGCACTTCCTGGGAATTACAGCAGCAGCCTGCTTATTCATGGCTGAGATGTGTGTAACTTCACTCATACTGAGTATGTTCAATGGAGGGTTCTTCGGGTAATAGATCTTGCTATTCTAGTATGAATATCCTCTGCTAGCAGAAAATGCCCACATCTTTGGCCTTTGTTGAGAGGAAGAGTTTTGTCTTTTGATTTTTTTTGCATAGTACTTAAAAATGCACAAACCAAAGAAAATTCCACTGCTAGTAAGAATTATCTGGTTTCAATTCAGGTTGCTGATTGATGTAGGCTTTAACTTTTCATCACTGCAGATGAACTGAAAGATCATCAGAGGAATCTAATGTGTTACATATGTGAAACCAGCAGCTGAGCAGGATGTGACTATAAAGGAGAGCTATAGCTGTGATTGACACTTACTGATTAGTATTTCGTATTCTAATTAGTCCATACTTAGCTACAGCTAAAATTATTTGTGCATGTTACTGTTGACCTGCTTCCAAATGCTGCTTTTAGGAAATTTAAGATGTGTAAGGGCAATCTTATGCAAAAGCTTGAAGGGTGAAATTTCTAAAGGCTTTCATCCAGGAAAGAGTCAAGTTGTATTTCTAGATTAGCAGCATTCAGTACCAGAGAGTTGATTTTGAAGATATACATCAACAAGTATTTCTGCCTTGTAGCACCTCTTCTTTTTATATAATTTTTACTAATGTCCCAAATACTGTCTCAAGTAAAAGCCAAACTTAGAATTACGTGTTTTGTTTATAATTTTATGACTTGAAATGTTGCCTGAATCTAACGGGTAAAATAAGACACTCTTTCTGTGTTAATGTTGGGCTGTGTTCCTCATTGGAAAATGAGCTGGGAAAGGGAGACATGAATGCTTTAGTATTGCTGGCATGTAAATGTCTATGCAGTTTTTCAGCTAGGGTTGTGACAGCTCTTTTCCTTTTTTGGATTTTTCCCACTCCATTTAAATATCTGGTACTCACATGTGCAATGTCTTAGTGTACCCCAGTATCTGCTGAGGACCTGCTCCTGTGTGATCCAGCCTGTATGCCACATCTTGACAAGGCTGAGAAGAAGGGGGAAGTGAGCATAGGAATGTTGGGAGCACTTGCATTGCACTTTTCACTCGAGAAACACAGGTTTATGTGGCTATTTCTGTGGTGAATTGTCATCATGCTATCCACAAAACAATACACGTGTGATGTCTGTGTTCTTAGCAGTCAGCATGAATGTTTAAATGTTCACAAAACGGAGAGGTTTTGTGGCAAATATGCACATGTCACTGGAGTGGGAGATAGTTTGTGTATTTTTTGTTTCTTTCTTTCTCCCATTTCTTGTTCTGTAGCTGTCCTGTGTTTCCCCGCTCCTCTGGCTGATGAAGGTTGAGCAGGAGTTTTGTTGGAAGCTTCCTTTGTAGCTCCTAGGAGGCAGAAGGTTGCTTTTCTAGCTTTTTATCTTTATAAATTTGTTTTTATTCATCCCATTCAAGCACACCTCAGCTGGACTTTGAAGAGACATTGACCTGCTTTCTTCTTCCTCTGTGTCTGGTGGTGGAGTCCAGCCCCTCCCTGGTTCTGGTACTCATCTGCCTGCCCCTCCACTGACCCCAGAGTTCACTTTTTAGGGTTTTTTTCATCACTTGACTTCCCCACCGTGGCAGCAGTTGTGGGAATCCCATTCCTCAGTCTGCTTTTGGGTTATTTTCAACATGAGGAACTGGGAAGGATGGTCTGTAATGGCCAGGCTGGCTGTGCCAAGAGCCCTGTTGTGCTAGGGAGGCCTTGTCGGTTGGTGAGCTGGAGAACCCATTCAAGAGAAGTGCCAGGTAATTTTTAGAGGCACTGCAAACTCTATTTCTGTTGTATGGTAGACATACAGGGAATACTTACAGCCCTGTAGAAGAGAAGAGATGTTACCATGTAGCATACCTGCAAAAAACCACCTGGAAAGGATTCATTTTTGTCCTGAACAATAAGATTAAAAAGCTCGATTTTTTTGGTCAGAAGAAGGTTGCATGGTCACTGCTAGAAAATGGATCCTTCATCTGATGTTTCATAGTGGAACAAAAATTTGTTTCATCTGAATTCTTAATAAACCATCTGCAAGTTTTGTCTTTTAAGTTCGTTGTATTGACAATCCAAATGCCATCTGTGAGAAAACAGAGATGAGAAAATACCTGTGAGAAAAGTATTTCCAGTCAAGCCAGTTTTGGTGTAGGGACATAATACAGGATACCAAGCATTTCCAGATAAACTTGTGTCTAGCCTGACCATCTTTTGTTTGCTGTGAACGTGAAAAACTGATATTAGTGTGACTTTAAATCCAATTTTATGGCAACTGTCCACACATTTTCTGCCTGATATGTTTTTTTGATCCACACCACAGCCTGACACTTCCAAAATCTAATCAAAGGATTTTAAAAACAGTTTTCTGGGAGGAGAGGATAAAACAAACCCAGTTCTTTACTTTGTCATATAATCTTCAGATCTTAATTGAAAGAACTGGCTTTCAAGATATAACCAAACTTAAAAGTCATTGTTTTCTAAAAATTCTTTCTCTCATCAAAAACTGTGCTGTGTTTATATTCCCTTACTGCAGTACCTTTCTGTGCTGCTAAAGGAGACAAATCCCTGCTGTGACTCCAGACTGGGACTGGCCTGTAAAATTGCTTTGGATGTAACACTATGAAATATAATATAATAAAATATATTGTATATAATAGGACAGAAAGTCTTAATTCAACTCTTGTGACACCCCAAATGAAATCTAGCAAAGACAGTCTGTTTCATATTCATGAAGTGAAGTTTTTAGGCATTTTGTTTCTTCACTGCCAGTTTGTATTGCAGTTTACCCAAATATGTAGGTTACTAAAATAAAATTCATCAAGTAAGCACTTTTTATTATTTCCAGTTAGGATGGAGAGTAATGAAACTGTAATACCTTAAAGTTATTATACTTTTAACTTTTGCAGTTTCCCTCACCTTTAGAAATTTTTTTGAAAATTATGCTGATAAATTAAACTTACTTGGGTTTCATTCAGTCACAAATTGAAACAAGAAATTACGTGAAGGCTCAAACTGACAATTACATTATTTCAGATTATCACATTACCAGGCATTTACAGAGCCGCAGTAATGGTATACATGAATGTACTCAAGCACACAGCCTTGGCTGGCAAAGAAAGGAATAGAATGCCTTTTTTGTTTTTTGGGGTTTTTTTTAGGGACAAACTAAAGCACTCTGCCTGGTATGCAGTGTTGGAGGGTGTTCTTAGGCAATTAAAGTGTCTTGGCTGATAACATGAATCCTGACCTGATGTTAAGTGAAAATAAGCAGCATATTGGAAAAAATATACTATATTCTGAAAATGCAGAGGGAGAGAGCCTGCACTAACAGTTCACCCTAGTTCTGAAAATTTCCTCTGGCGTTTGCCCAGCTTTACATTTATAATCACATCTTAGTTCCTCCCATGCTGAAGTGAATCCTTTTAGGGCAGTTGGTCAAAGCAGCCAGGTTTGTAAAAGTCTGACAAGAGCTGTGTGTCTCTGAGGGCTTTCAGACCTCTGTGTCATGGACACAATGCCAAAAAGGTGGAGAAGTGGGAGAGAATGGCCAGAGAGAAAATTACCAGAAATCATAACTAAAAATGAGCAAGATGGATTTCAGAGCCTGCAAATCTTTGTAATGTTTAAAACAACAGCAGCCCTTTTCTAACTCTCTTGCTGCTTATCATATAAGCCACAGCAGGGAAGAAAAGAATAAGTAGGAAGCTAACAAGTTTTCTAAACTAAGCTTTTCCAACTAGCAGAAACATTAGTTGTCTTCAACACTAATGTCTTACATAAAAGGATAATGATAAATGGACTGTGAATGGTTTTCTTTTGTTCAACACTGCTCTGTTTTCAAATCTATAGCTCAGTATAATCAGAAAACTGACATGGAAATCTGCTGCATGTTAGTAACCATATCTTTTCATCAAGATTTTATGAGGTTTTTTTGTAAATAAATTACTATGTCAGTCTTTGGTAGTTATACTGAATATGTATGGCCAAGCAAAAATGATCAGTGGTATGAAGATCAAGAGATGTAACTTTTTTTTTATGCTACTTGCTTCTCCTTTCTTTTGGCAGCATGGCATGACCCCTCTGATGCACGCAGCTTACAAAGGGAAGGTGGACATGTGCAGATTGCTCTTGAGACACGGAGCTGATGTAAACTGCAATGAACATGAGCATGGATACACTGCCTTGATGTTTGCTGGACTTTCAGGTAACTTCTTACTAAACTCAGACAACTTTTATTGATTTTTGTTACATCAGTGGGTACAATTTGCCATAAGTTAATAATTTAAAAGTGTTGATATGCTTTTATTATTCAGGTTTGCTGTTATTTATGTGAACCATGCAACTATGTCATGACCAGTAAAATCCTCTGTTCAGGCTCATATAAAAATTGATTGTGTTCAGCATTTTGAGACATACAGTCTACTTGTCCTGTACCTACTTTGTCCTGTTTGTTAGAGATCTTGACATTCACTTCCCTGGGACAGTTTTGTTGTGCAGTTGGATACATTCTGTTTACTTAGACTGTGTTACACTGAAAACGATGCTGCACCAGTAGCTTTTGGTAATCTTTGAGACTTCTCAATCCAATATTTTTCAAATTTTCTTTCTCCTACATTATTTTTGCAACTATCGTGTGGACTTTAAAAAATGCATTTAGTAAGTTTTAGAAACATGTTTTCCCACAATAATTTTCACTCTTCTCTTACATTCTTCTTTCATGAGAGTGCTTATAGCTGTATATATCTTCTCCTGTCTCAAATGATGGTTTGCAGCTTTCCTCTTGCTATTCTTTTTCCCTGATGGCAGGAACAGTAATTTCCTTGAGTGAGAAAAAGACACTACATTAAAACCTTGTTCCTTCTGGGGAAAGGATTCAATTCGGGAATATTAGGTTATTTTAAATATCTTCTTTACTAGGCTACTTATGTCTTCCCAAAAATGAGATTCTAGAGGAATCAGGTTTCTTAGCAGGTAGAGTTTAAACTGCCTTCTTTCATTGTAAGTATTTAAAAAAAGGCTTATATGTGTATATAAACCTTAACAACCTTAACTAGATCATCAGATTATTTTTCAGCTACAACTTTGGTAAAAAGATTTTGGAAATTCCAGTGTTCTGTGACATTGAGCAATATCACAGCTGCAGAAAATAGATGAGAACTCTTAAAGGCTGTTAAATGACTACAGCTTTATGGAAAATGCTGGATTTTTACCATTTTCTCATAGCTGAGCTTTTAACCTGTCATCCTGGGTGTGAAAGCTTAGGATCAGTTATCTGTGAGCACAAAAGGTACACGAGTACTACTGACGCAGTGACTTTGTTTTTAAACACTGATTTTCATCCACCATCCCCTTTTTGTATTCACTTTTCTGTACTTAGCATCAGCACAAAAACTGTTAAAGTAAGAATACCTTTGAAAGCAAAACCAGCAGGAGTGGTGACAAGTGTCCTTTTTTAGCTTCTGAAGGGCACCAATTAAGTCATCTAATCTTCCCATCAAATTTTAGCTTCATTTTACTTGGTATTTAGCCCAGTCTGAACACCCAGTTCCCACTGTGGAGAAAGGAACAATCTGTTCTGTTCACTGTGTTCCTGCTACATCATAGTCCTGAATGTGTTTTTCTTCTTAGAAAAGTGAATGTAGCTGAACTGTTAAACTAGATTAATAGAATTTCCCTCTATCCTGCTTTCCAGAGGGACCAAGCTCTAGTGTAGCTACATGGGTATGACTCCCATAAGCTCCATGGGAAGCTGATTGTGCCTTACAGAGAGCAGATTTACACCAGCTGGAACTCTAAATAAGCACATACCTTTCTCTTAATCCATGCTTAAAATAGCAACATTAAGAACATTCATTTTCCTTAGTGTTGTTCTGGACTTCAAGAAATTCAGTACATCTTTTTCTGAAGCATAGAGAATTACAAGTTCTGATTTCTCTTTGTTCATTCCCTCTATCTTTCCTGCAAATTCAGGAAATAAAGAAATCACCTGGATGATGTTAGAGGCTGGAGCAGAAACTGATGTTGTCAACTCTGTGGGAAGGACAGCAGCTCAGATGGCTGCTTTTGTGGGTAAGATGAAAATTATTATAATTTCCTAAACTCCTAAAGAAGTAAAGTTAGATTCTGATGCTTTTTGTTACAGAAACATTATTTAATGACTTGTTCTGAACTGACACATTGCTGAGCTTTGTTTTCCGCATCTCATAATGTAAGAGTCAATCTGTGTTCCATTCCCATGTTTGAGTTCCTAAAAACACAGATGATCTTACCTGTGAGAACAGGTGCTACTGTCCAAGTGTGTTAGTTTTTGCAATGTCACTACTTTGGAAATAGTAAGAGGAAGTTGGTTACACTGGAGGGGTCCGAAGTAGCCCCAAGTGCTGATTGGAGCTTCCCTTGTGGGAAAGGACGACTGTAGTGCCAGGAGTCAGGAACTCAGCTGGGTGTTGCAGCTGTGTGCTGGCAGTGAGCCACTCCCTGCCCTTCTCCAGCTTCTGGGAGAGGGAGAAGTCTTGGCACCTCTTCTGAGGTAGTCACCACTTACTGACCAAGTTCAGGTCACTAGAATAAGAAAGATTTGTCATTCCAGCATGCAGAATTATCCATGGCAAAACATGCAACAGGCTTTTTTGCTGTTGTTGTGTTTCTCTTTTTTTTTGGTCTTTTTTTGTTTGTTTTTATAAACCCTTTTTAAAGTTTTTACCCTCCTTGACAATACTAAGTTCCTGACTTAATGTTCCACTTTTTCTCTAGCAAGGAGAATTGATAAAATATTATGAGGTTCGGTGGAGTCATTTTCAATGGCACAGCTATTGCTTCCCAAAAACCAAAAATGAGGACCTGGATTTTCTTTCAAACACAACCCTCTAATGGTGTTTAAATGCTTGAGAATTCCCTTTCAAGTCCTTTTGGTGTTCTGAATAAAAGCCAACCTTGCCATGTAGATTTACTTCTTTGAATAGTGATTTAGTGCTAAGTTTCAGGTTCCATTTTATCTCATTCTGCTGTTTTAAGGAAGAAAAGGCTGACATTGCTCACTTGAGGTTTGAGCAGCAGTACCTTAACTATTCACTTAATGTATGAGAAAAGTTGATTCCTATTAATTATCCTTTGGATTTGGAGAGTCTTTTCCAATGTGATGCTGTATGGAGTGAATGGGGAATATTATCTCCAACGTAATTTTTGAGAATTTTTGTTTAAAATCTCATCACATCACCAAGGTAGCATAAATATTTTCAGGCATACTGAGATACACTACTCTGTCAAAGTCTGCACATTGCAATCTATTCCTGTTCCTTTTTTTATTCTTTGTCCAATCAACATTAATTCATCTGCCTGTGTGGGAAGTGAGGATATTTCTTCCCCTATCATTTGTCTTATACTGCACTCTATTAGCTCAGAGCTGTCTCTTCTAAAACAGTGGAGGATTTTAAATGCTGAAATTTGGTTGGCTGTGTCTTCTTCTGATTATAGGATTAGTGCCAAGACAAATCAATCAATTTAAATAATGTGGTCCTGAACTAGAAAAGATAAGTTTTACTTTCCCTTTAGTCAAGTAATCCATTGTATTGTCAGATGTCAAAAACAAGAAGAGGGTGTAACTTCTCATCTTGTTACTTTCATTACAGTCCTTTTATTTTTGGTAAACTTTAAGCATGTTCTGTTCTTATAACTTCTCCCACCTAGGTTAATACAGAAATATCTGCTTCTGGTCTGAAAACTTACAAGTCTCAATGCAAATGTTATTAATTTTAAAAGTACAAAATGGAAAAATCTTATCTTCCAAAATTATGACACCAGTATGTGACTACTAGAATAGTATAATTTGAGGGAGAAATAACTATTCTTAGTTGTAGCTTACCAGGGAAAGAGGATTCAGGAAGCGGACAGGATATTAAAAATGAATTTTCATGAGGGCATTCCCTGCTGGGAGTCGGTAAGTTAATAACACTGAAGATTAAAGCTACGCACAAGAGAATGACTAGAGTTGCCTCTTTGCAGTGCAAAAAAGGCTCCTTTGCATGTGGGTAATTCTCACTTGTATTGTTTATATTAGATTTGGGTTTAGGTTTGGTTTTTTTGTTACTATTTCACTGGTGATTTTTTTCTTCTGTGCCTTTAGGTCAACATGACTGTGTGACTGTCATCAACAACTTCTTTCCACGTGAAAGGCTGGATTACTATACTAAACCACAAGGCTTAGACAAAGAACCAAAACTGCCAGTAAAATTAGCTGGGCCTCTGCATAAAATTATTACTACTACCAACATGCATCCTGTTAAGGTGGAGTTATTGTATGTGTTTGTTGTAAATTGTATGTGTTTGTTGGTGTGGGAGCTGTTCCTTGTGTTGGAAAGCATTTGGCTCTTCTGCAAGTTCAATTGAGATCAAAAGCATTATCTGCTAATTGAACTACTTCTGAAAATGAGGAAGAATCAGGCTCAATGTTTAGAAGTGATTAAAAAATTATTTCAGTGTTTGTATGCACCAGAATCTTGAACTAACACCTTTAAGTGGAGAGATTCTAATGTCTTTTATCAGTAACCATAAATAGCTGTCTTTTTTGGCTTTATTTCTCAGCCCCACTTGAGGTGGAAACATAGAACAATTTCCTGTCTCAACAAAATCTCATTGTTCTCTCAGTGCTTTTCTCAGCATCTATCTTCTTACCTTCTTCACTGGTTTGCTGCAGTAACATCTACCACTGCTGCTGTTTCTGAAAGTATGTGAAAGAGGATGTTTTTTTTTTACTTCCCAGGATATTGCTGAACAATAATGTCTTATGGTTTGCTCTTCCAGTGTAGTTCAGAGAAAAGAATACACCTAAATCCAAATACAAATTCCTTGGGCTTGCCAATCAAAGTCCAGAATTTGTTAAGAGTTTCCAGCCAGGTATCTGCAGTACACAGAGACAGTAGTGCACCAGTGGCAGGTAACTGAGTGAGTAGAGCGTACAGTTTCCTGTTAGAACATTTTAGTCAGTGCTTTACTAGGCTACAGGAAGTACTCCACGATTATGTGATGTTGATGTGTTCTGTGAAACTGCTGAAATCATACAAGTCCCGTTTATTTTAACGTTGAAAAAGAGATTTTAGAATAGTGTATGGTAGTTTCTATAACTTTCTTTAGGAGTAGCTTTTATTCTTCCAGTTCTTATTCTAAAAAAAAATCAAACTTGCTATTTTTAATACCAGTCTTAGTTTTACATGCTTTCTTGTATGGGAACTGTGAATTACAGTATACTGAATAATACTGCTAAATAATGACTGGAAAAAGAAAGAGAAGACTGCATAAGAAGGAAGTAGAAGAAGATTAGAAACTCCACTGAAATTTAGCTACTATGAGCTATATAAGCTTTAATGCCAATGCACAAATCTTAACTGGATTACATTTTCTTCAATCTTTATCCTAGATCGTGTTGCTGGTGAAAGAGAACCCTCTGTTGGCCGAAGTAGAAGCACTGCAGAAATGTTACAGGGTTCTGGATCTCATCTGTGAGAAATGCATGAAGCAGAAAGACATGAATGAAGTTCTTGCTATGAAAATGCACTACATCAGTTGCATCTTCCAGAAATGTATTACATTTTTAAAAGAGCGAGAGGATAAACTAGATGGATTTATCAAAAGGTGAGTTTTTCTACAGAGAGGTCTGAAAGCACGTGTATGCCCTGGCATTGCAGATACCAGGAAAAAGACAACTGAAGGAATAGATTGGATTGGCTTGGATGAAGGCTATGACAAATAACTTGTTGAATAATCCCAGCTGCATTTACTTCAGGGTGGTACCCACTCCCTTTTTTCTGTGTTTGAAGTGACATTGTCCTTTCTAAGGTACAAAGGAAACATTCCTAGAATTTCAGCTCTTGCTGGAACTGATTAGAACTTGGCATTTACATATATGCCATGGAGCAGCAGACAGCAATATGTGATGGAAAAAAAGGAGACTGATAAGCTTGAAGAAAGAATTTCTCGGTGTCCAATATGGTTCATCTGGGAACATTTTTTGTGCCATTTTACTCTCCAGCAGTCATACAGGGTGAGATTTTTTTTTCAAAAACACTTAAGCAAGTGAGAACTGCAAATCCCATAGACTCTGGATGAGACTTAGACTTATAAATCACTTAGACAGATCTTCAAAATCTACTGAGTTACAAACCAACTGCCGGATCTTACATATCAAAGTAAGTGACCTGGCTTTTAGAAGGATCATGCTCTCCTTACACCTCTGTAGATTTTTACTGAAATCCTCTGTGAGACTGAAAATAAATTACAAAGTCAGCTTTTACATAATGACATTGAATAGTTCATCAGTCATCATGTAAAAAAATAGTAGCCAAAGAGATGTAAGGACTGTAACATGTTATTAAACATAATAAAGAGGAATGGTGTTTTAAGGTATGGTTCATGTATCAGTGTTTATTATTATAATGATCATTTTTAAACAGCACAAAGCATTTTGATATTTTAGTCAGATGTAGATAGTAGATCGTTTACTTACAGATTCTTTTTCTCTGTGGCTGAATTAGTAAGTCCTGGTTTCAGAGCATACATTTATATATTGTTTATTTCATAATGATAGTGCTTTAGAAAAAAACACTTTCATTTGCATTTTAACATATGGACTTAACACAGGAAGTTGCCAAATTACTATGAATTCTTCTCTATAATCTGAAAGGCGACAGTATAGCATGCTGTATGTGTTTGTTCTTGAAGATTTACCAAGTGATTTCTTATTTTACATGCATAAAATTTAGCCTCTTGAAAGGGAGAGATAAAGATGGTTTCCCTGTGTATCAAGAGAAGCTAATTCGAGAAAGTATCCGGAAGTTTCCTTACTGTGAAGCTACGTTGCTCCAGCAGCTTGTGAGAAGTATTGCTCCTGTTGAAATAGTAAGTTTTTCCTGTCAAGAAAATCCTTTCTCAGTAACTTGCATAGTAGATCAACATTGAGGCATCTTTCTGTCCTCAGCTTCTGCAGCATATTATATTAAGCAAAGGGTTTTGATGTCCCTAAACTCTGGAGCTGGATTTTACATATTGCAGGAAAGTGCTCTAAAATACTTCAACTCGTGTTTTTTTCATGTGCGCATAACAAATGCTTGAACACCTCAGCTTTTAAAGAAAACTGATGCCATTTTTTCCTATCTCTGAGCTTTCTTTTCCTCCTCTGGGATGTCTGTTCAGTTTTTCCATGCCAGTTCACTTACTGAAATGGTAGATTCGGACAAAAATGAAAATTAATTTGCGCTCTGTTTTCACGATGTCTAAATTCAGTTTAAGATTGAATAATTTTCTAGATTTAATGCATTCATTTGTTCTATTGTACAGAAGAAGTTGGTAACATCTGATGGTAGAAAAAAGAGAAACGTTCTCTGAGGTGTCTTTAATCACAGAGAGGGAGAGGCAAGATGAAGCAATGTGCAGCAAAATTTATATCTAAATTAGGAAATCAAAATTACAAGTTAAAAATCTAACCTCAGTTGTCCTCTTATGAATTTGCTAACACAGTCTTCATTTCTGGACTATTTATTGCTTCATAATAAATTTTACACAAGAGTGGCTGTTCTTTTTTAAGCACGTTCCCTCTGGTCTCTGAGAGCAAGATGTTGTACACACAAACACTGGGGAATTGGAACAACCCTGTGACGTGTTTGGATTATTCAGAGCCAATTAAATATAGCCTCCATCTTAAGTGGCTCCAGGTCTGCTAAAATGTCCTGAGGCTTAGTGCAATCTCTACTGTTTGTCTAAGCCAGGAAGATAAACACAGTGTGAAAACATAAGCCACTGTGATGCATTACAACTTGCTTTAGAGTAAACATTTTCAGGAGAGCCTGTAGTCTTTTCTGCCTTTAAAGCAATGACAGTTTATTCCATTAGATNGCAGAACTGGAAAGGAGGAGATGATACAATTTTTATTTATGTGGAAGCCTTTGAGCTTTGTCATTGCACAATTACTTGGATTTAGTCTGGACATCTCAGTGTTGTAGTAGTTACAGTTGTCCATATTCCATGGTAGTCTAACAGTTTAAGGAATTACTTACAGCCAGAACAACTTTGCTTTTTTTTTCCAAATATTTATATCATTGTCCAAAAGAATAATTTTAATGTATGGTTACCTAAACCTTACTGTTTGCATTGCGTGGGAAGGATGCTGCAAACAACATCTAAATATAGAAAATGTCGAGTTCTGACCATTTGGTCTATAGCACCTGCGTGCACTGAGCCAGCACAGAGACTGAGCTTCAAAAATCTGCTGCATAGGATCTACAGATGTAAAGAACCTGGAGTTTATTAATAACTTATAGTGGAAAATACTACAGAAACTCAGGGCTTAAGTTAACTTCATACACAAAAGTTTATCTAAGGATAAATCTTAAGTTCTGCATGTTAGTTGAAGTTCTGTGATTTGGTTTTGTGATTTTACTGCTGCAGCAGCTTCAGTGAGACGGACACTTGTGTTAATTGTTTCTGGTCTTCCCTTGCACGTCCCTCTCTGCAACGGTGCTGGGTTTTAATCTCGTTACCACCTCTTGTCTTTCAGGGCTCTGACCCCACAGCTTTTTCTGTGCTTACACAAGCGATTACTGGCCAAGTGGGTTTTGTGGATGCTGAATTCTGTACAACTTGTGGGGGAAAGGGAGCAGACAAAAGATGCTCAGTATGTAAAATGGTAAGAATCAAAGAAAATAGTTTCACTGAGGTGCTGAGGACTTTAAATGCTTCCCTATTTACTGTGTAGACTTAGGAAGAATGGCAGGCATGCCTGCACTGAAGATGTTCAAGATGTTTCTACTTCTGGGAAAGGTGCCTGAAATTCACAAGTAGGAAGGAGTACTTGGATTTCCAAGTGTGTACACTTAAGAATGAAAAAAAAGAGTAAAGTATCTGTATTTTTAGAGTTAATTAAAAAACTGTTCTTTATAGATTCTTATATAGATTAGAATCACTCCATATGACCTTACAAATTGCTTTAAAATGCCATTAAGTGCTATGCATAGACATTTAACTTGCTGCAGTAGGAAACTCAAGGAAATTGTCTATTCTTTTAGTACATGAAAATGAATGGATAACTCTGGTAACTTTCAGGTGATGTACTGTGACCAGAACTGCCAGAAAATACACTGGTTTACCCACAAAAAAGTCTGCAAGACTCTGAAGGAAATTCACGAGAAACAAGAACTAGAAGCTGCCAAAGAAAAAAGGAAACAAGAAAAGAAGCAAAAGAAAGGTTAGAATCTGTTCCCTTGCTGAAACCAATGCTGTGTCAACTGCATCACAAAGAGCGATTTCACAGGTCTTAAAACTTGTAACAGCTAAGGCCGGGAGAAAAATCTTTGATGAAACCTAACAGCAAAGCTGAGTTTGGTGGGATTCTGGCCTTTCAATTTACAAATGCTGTATGGTTTCCAAATGTGTTTTTTAATGATGCAGTTACACAGATTTCTACAATGAAAGCATTCTGATTTACACTGCACTGTTTCAAAATCCAGATCTTTAATCAAGCTGGTGTAGAACTTTAATGCTGCTCTATGTTTTGTTGGAGGTGTTAGGACAAGTCGGATAATAAGCAAGCAGCCTGCTCCTTCCAGTTGCAAAGGTTAATGTTGATGTTAAATCTCCCATAATACTTCTCTTCATAATCACAGTATCAAGTTAATTGTGTTGTGTGCTTTGAACGTGCAGAAAGCAAGCTGTAGCCTTTAAACTGCTCACGGTGGTTTTCTCCCTTTAAAAAGCAAGTAATTAAAACATAACTGAATAAACGCTGTATTGCCCCTTCCCATGTTTCTCCAAGTGAAATAATAGGAAAGTAGGGGATGAAATCACTTTTTCTCTTTTACAACTTACTGGATTTCCCTTCCTTTGTTTTAAGGATTGCAGAAGTGCACTGCACAAATCATGGTTGCCTTACAATGGTAATGTTGTTCACTTCAGCTTAAAATAGCAGGATATAAATCAGTAATAATTGAAGTTTTCAACAGTTTCCTCTGTGGATCCTGTTACAAGAGCTGCTGTTACATGGGATCAGGATGACTGGAAGTTGGAGGCAAGGATGTTAGAAATCCCTGGATATATTGCATACCAGTACAACAAAACAATGAGCTGTGAGCAGTGATGCCTCACACTGGTGTCAAGCACACGCCCTTGCAGGTTCATATTTCCTGAAGGAGTCAGTGGCCAGGTGTTGTCCTTTTCAGAGGGAAGGGCAGGATCTTGGTGGATGCCTCTTCTCCCTCCCTGCTTAAAAGGGAAACTAACATTTTTTGTTATGTTTCTACTCCACTATCTACATATTAATCTCCATTAACTGATTCAGGTACACGGCCAGCACACTATAGACCTTATCAGTTTATGCACTGCTAGCAAGACACTGAAGTCATCTGAGCTTCAGGTCATCTTGTGAATGGTGTTGTATCAGAGCATTTCATATCAGAAAGTTAGTAATACCCCTACAAATCCTGTACATCAAGAAAGTAATAACTAAAAAAACAAATGTGACAGCTGCAACTACAAGCAAACCCAAGAGTTGAAGCATTTCCACTGTACAAGGGTGAGTGTCAAGGAAGTTCACACTTCAGCCTGAGCTGAAGGCTGTTAGCTCACTGCCACCTGAGACCTTGGCAGGGCTGTGGCTAGCTAGCTGTGACTGTTTTTGGCTGGCTATCAATCACAACAGAGAACAAGAAACCAAGATTTAACTGCTGCTCCCAATTAGGGTTTCCCCTCCTTCTTTTCAGAATTCCTAGCATGCAAGCCATACTTGGTAGAATCAGGGGAAAAAAGTTATTTAACAACTTTTTTTTTCTCAGAAAACATTATTTGAAGAGTAAACGTGAAATAGCTGATTCTGTTCCATGCAGTCAAGTTACAAATTTTAGAATTCCTCATTTCAACCAAAGTTCATTGTTTTTAAGCACATAATTTCTTCAGTCTGTTTTATGCAGAAATACTTCCTATGTAGTCATGTCCATGCCTTTTTGATTTAAAACAAACCCCACCTGTACTCAGCTATTCTTTGAAAAGCTGGTGATAAGAATAGTGTCAATAAAGCATGTTTGAATTGAAAGTTAAAATAACTGTAGTGTCCTACTCTGCTCTTCTTTCTAATAAAAAAAAAAGTCTGGCAAAAATGGAAGAAAAATTAATGAGAGCTTTGTATTAGATTAGTTCCAGAGTAACCTTATACCAACTTAAGCAAAGCTTTAGTGTTTTGGGTTTTTTTTAAATGAAGATTTTCTAAATTAATTACTTCTGTAGCTGATGCAAAGTATCCTAGTGTTACTGTTCTTCAACAATAAAAATATTTGCTTGCAAAGGAGTTCAGTGTTTATTAATTGTGATTTCTCTTTTGTTTAGATGAAATGCAGCTAGTAGAGGGTAGTTCTACAAGTGAACAACAGTCAGATTCTGGTCCAGATCCTACAAAAGAAGTGGATCCAAATCATCCTACTGATGGAACAGAAGAACCTGAATTTTCCAAAGAGATGGAGGCACTAGCCCTGCAACCTGAAAGTCCACCGGAAAGTGAAACCGCTTTAGATGACATTGATCCTCAAAAAATTCAAGATTCTGAGGAGTAAGAAGAGGGTAGGAAGGGACTGAGAGTTCTCAAGGGTACTAAAGAATTTTTTATGCTGACCATGTCTTATGGAGCATGGCTTGTGAAAGATTTTCTTTTAAGACAGAGTGTCTCTGTTCATCAAGAGAGAGAATACTGGCTACTTTGTCTATAAATACTCCAGGTTTTGTTGTAAATTGTCAAGATAGGTATTTATTATCTGCTAAAAATTAGTGGCATAGATCCATCTGTATGTATACCAATAATAAACCTAGTGAAACTCTGAATTTCTGTGGTTAATGAACCACTTAGTGAAAAATGAACAGCATTTGATTTGGATTATTCATGTTTTCCAAACTTAAAACTTATTTTAATCATAATTAATTTTTTTTCTGCAAATACATAAACCTGTAGTTAAAAACACTGGAAGGCCAACTGTTAAACTGCCTTTTTTTCAGCACTTTATGAAGCTTTATCTGAAGGAATTCAGTAGCAATTAAGTTTCTGAAGATAATCATCTGAACTCTCAACTTTTCATGACATTACTGTAAATATTTTTGACTAGTGAGAGCCCAACAATAATGTATATTTTGCGGCGATTGTAGTAAATGAAACTGTTGTTTCAGGTGTCTCAAGCTGATGGTGAAATGTGTATTTCACTATTGGTTTGGTCAGAAATATTCCAAAGTCTAATGAAGGGAAGATCAGAACGTCTGAAGATATTTTGACTGACAAGAATAATGCATTCTAAATCATTTTTCAGGTAGAGATGCCTTAGAACACAGTGGGATGTTGGTTATGAATTATTTCATAAACAAAAAATGCTTAATATTTTTCATGCTGAACTGGTCACAGTGAATTAGATGAGAAAATTCGTGTGTGCATTGATACAACTGGGATTTTACATTGGCTTTCAGCTAAATACCAGATCTAGAAAATAGCAATTTTGTTTTTCACTCAGATTTATTTCTGTGTCTCATGAAATCAGTGGGAATGCCACAAATGAAAATACCACTTGCTGCATAAGGATGGCAAAATTGGAGCCTGTCTTATTGTCAGCTGAATCATTGGTGTTTTAAACATGGCAGTATTCTTCTAATTAGAGGAGTAAGGACCATCCTCAAAACAGAGGGAAAACACTATTAAATTTTTTACTCTTTAATATGTTGAAAGTTTTTGTTTACTATTCTGAAAACTGTAGGGGTGAGGATACATAAATGCACCTGTGCAGGGAATGTACCTGTGTTTAAATTTCAAGGATTAGTGTGTTGTGAAGAATAAAGGGAATTTTTTTAAAAGAAGGGGGCTATGTGGTAATTCTGTTTCCTGCGTCTGTAACACGGTGAATTTCTCATGTGACATGCAGGGTCTCCTGTAGTTTGAGTATACAAGTTTAATTTCATGACAATTGGCAAGCAAGAGATGCCTGCCTGGAACTCAGATCTGTAGTCACCTTCCACTCTGAGATCTAGGAATACTAGAAGTGCTGCTGCCTGCCTGTTCCATTCATAGCGTTTGGGGCTCCCAGGGTTGTCTTGCTCTTCAAGGATTCTCTGAAAATGCCATCTCTTCAGGGCAAAAGAATCAGGGTTTTGGAAGTCTGCTAAAATTCCCAGCACCAATCCTGCTTTCATTCTCTCAGTAGTGCTGCCTTGCTCATTGGAAATCTTTGATTTCCCCTGACAGGCCACCGGACAACCTCATCTCCGACCTGCTTCCAACAGGAAGGTTGGACTAAATAAGCTCCAGAGATCCTGCCAACACAGACTGTCCTGTGGCTCTGTGCTAACTTAGGAGAGAAGGAAGGAACTCAGAAGACAAGCTACAACCTGAAAGAAGGGCTTTGATACGTTTAGAAAGCATCATTGACTTTAAGGGTTGACAGAATGGAAGGAGAAATATGTGAGGAAGTGTATTATAAGAAATAAAAGTATTTATCCTTAGTTTCCTAAAAGGTTTAATACTTTCGGATAACAAAATTATGGTAAGAATTGCATTTCAAACAACTTTTATTATAACATTGCCACTATTTATCATTTGTTATCTTAATTTCTTCACTCTCTATACTACATATGATAAAAGAAATGTTACACTAACTTTTTTTTTCTGGAAATTCGCTTAATTAGATGTGTGTTGTTGTGTACTTGTTTTACTGAGCTGTTAACCTACTTATGGGGTAAACATTAGAGAGAGAAAATGTTTTTCTCATCTAAACTGGACTGTCAGCTTCTGAAAGGGCTCTTCTGCTTTGTTTTCAAGCCGTCTTTCTTGACAGGTGGCTACTTTGTTCCAGTCCAGAGAGGAAAATTCCATTAGAGATCTTGTCATTGCCCTTACTAAAACTGCATCTTCGGGGTTCTCAAATGGTACTCTGCAAAAAGAACAAAGCAAGTCAATTAACTGAACATTTCCAAACCACTCCAGAACTAATTTACAACACACACTCTCTGGAAAGTGAAAGTAGCAGTGATGATGACACTAAGAAGGAGGATTTAAAAATTTAAAATTTTTGGAAGGTTTTCTTCTACCAAATTTAGGAAAGCAAAACAAAATGAGAAGAGGTCAGAATAATGGGATTCTATTTGAAAAAATCATGATAAATTATTTAAAAAACATAGTATTTAAAAATGTTTCTTTGTTTTCAGTTTTTTCTCCTACAAAAGTTATAGTTGTATACTTTTAACACTGATTCAATGGACATGATTCAAGTGATTTGGTACCCGTTAATGGAAATGCACATTTATTCTACTGTGGATCTCTTAACTAGCCCATAGGCAAATCTCCATTCTCCAATCTCTGAGTCCAGATCATTGTGGACTTGTGTTCATGTATCCTGCCACAGCTGCAGTCTGGGAGAGAAAAGCAGCAGATTCAAAACATCAAAGCAACACTGACAAGGAACCAAAACCTTCCAACTCACACAGAGTATTAAAACTTTCTCTTGTAAGAACTTATTTCTTAAAGATGTCCCTGTAGTAACACACCTCATATTAGCCACAGGACTATCTCCACTGAGTATAATGCACTTTTATCACCTTGCAAAAGCCTCAGCATTTACATAATAAGACTTGAGGCAGTTGTGCATCCATTCTGTCAATGAGGACAGCTAACTGCTCTGAAGGCAGGTAAGAATTTATTTTTCAACATAAATTAGCTTGATATTTAAAGAGCTGTGCTCAGAGTACTGTTAAAGATATTATAAGTAGGCTCTCCTTATTTCCTTCAATGCATTTTCAGATCTTTTCATGTGTAAAGCTAAAAAGTCAAGCCTGATACCCAAAGTTTGTAAATCTACTCTTAAAAATTTTGCATCTGAAATGTCATTACATTAAAATCCAACCTTTCTCCTGTCTCAATCCAGACACAGAGATAAAAGTTTTACATTTATTTCTATGATTTTAAACTGAACAGAATAAAAGTAATAGCATGTACAGACTAAAAAAGTTTCATTCTACAAATCATAATATTTTCCAGAGAGTGTATTTTTGAACAGCCAGTCAGGAGAACGTTTTCTGGGACATAATACACAACAGTTATTCTGATGCTCTAATACTTTGAGCATGCTTTTTCTAGTGATCAGTGTTTGATCTTACAAATAAATGGCATTTTTATCTGCCCATTTCCAAATGTGGAATACCTTTCAATACTAAATTTTAGACAACAAACCTAGTGTAGAGTTGCAGCTACATTGAATACAAAGACCTGAAATGGCTTCAAAAGCTCATTTTTACTGGACATTTTCTCTAGTTAGGGTATTTTTTAGGCATAGGAAGAGGAACTTAAATGCTTCAGAGATGCAAAAGGAAGAAGACACTGAAAATATTACTTACTTATTTGTGTTATTTCCAAATTCATGACCTATAACAGAAAGTTCAAGTTATGACATTAGTGGCTGTACAGCAATTTGAGTAGCTGAGAATTGATCGCTATTCTGATCCTAAATTGCTTGTTCAAATTATTGAAAACTTGTGTGATTTGAAATGTTTAAGATAACATTTTATTAAATTACTACCGAAGCAAGTATTTTCTGGGTTTTAAGTGTATGTAGGTTTAAGTTTCTTGTATTTTATTTCCTATAGATATACACCCTGGCTTTTTTTTTCTTTCACAGAAAATGATGCCACTGTGTATGTGTATGGTTGCAGGGTAGGGACAAAGACAGCTGTCTGCCTTCTTTGATAATCATCAGCAAAACAAATTATTACATATGCTTAAACTCTCCTCCTTTTCCCAACCTCTTCAAAATCATTGTTAAATGCGGTGCTTCCAGTTTTACTATTGTGATACGTACATTTTAAAAAACTTGCAGGAATTTGATTACTTTGCAAACTTCCATCCACACTATTTAAAATGTTACAATTTCAGTTATCTATGCAGAGTGGTGATTTTTTATTTTTGAAACATCGAAAAAGCTGACAAGATTGTGTGGGATTTTGAAGTTGGTTCTGGATTGTGATACAAGTCTCATGGTCTCAGGTGGTATTTGCCTACTTTCTTGTGCCAGGATCATGCTGTCTTCCAGATCTGAATGTTTTAAGAACTCTAGAAATTGCTTTATATGCTATTATAAGACATGATTAAAATTTTCTCAGCTTAGAAAGCGTAAAGATGAATCTGCTTACAAAACCAGACATGATTCATAAAATTTAGAACATTAGAAGAAAATATTTTCCTCAGGTGATTATCTTGTAAAAGCACTAGAGGGCATCAAAACTCTATTATGCTGAGCACTGAGAGTCAGAAGTGTATTGAGATGTTTTAAATATAAGTAAAACTAAACACAAGACTAATATTGACAAAAAATGTTTCAGCTATCTTTAACTATGTAATTCTGTAACTATGGGGTGTGACTAGAATTTACCTGCCACAATACTCTCAGTAGGATTCATATGTTGCCTGCTGCTGCTACAACTATTTACTTTATGAAGCAAACCAGCTGAGTTCTTGATGCATTTATAATTTATTACTAAAACCAATAATGTTTTATCAGATGAGTGAAAAAAAAAAGTTTCTAATTCAAATTACCTAAAAATGTATGTCTTCCTTTGAGTATTATAAATACCTGAGGTCATTATTGGTCTTCTGGCTGGTTGAGTGCATCTGCTAGATCCTGCCATAGTCTCCAGGGATGTATCCACTCTCCTCCCAAAACCTATTGACTGCATCACCCAAGTCCTTTTGGGGTTATAGAGATGAAGCGCTAACTCCCTTTCTCTTTGTGTAACTACTGTTAAAAGGAATATAAAAAATTTAATTTTATTTCTATCAGTTGAAAAGGCAGCATACAAAAGTTGATTCATATATTTTTCTCTGCAGTTTTTAACAATAATGATGTTTATTACACAATTTCATGGCAGTTCAAAATGGGAACATGTAGGATACTTTCTAAGGCTTTAGGGTGAAGCCCTGTACAATAAAGTATTTTCTTCTGAGTGCAGTAGGATCAGAAGTTTTAAATGAAGATGCTAGAAAGCAAGACTTTCCATGCTGCTTAAATGAGATCTCTTGCAAAAGCCAGTAAATATTTGGAAGTGTCTTTATTAATAGCAAAAACAAGTCAATTGGTTTAAGGCCAATTCAATTCCCATTGGTCAATTACAGAGAAAACCCTAAGAGTGCAATCAATAGAAAAGTTTAGTGTTTTCCTGTTTTGCACTTCAAGAGAAATAACTAATTTTTGAACAAATAGTTTGAGACTTAAATTGGGGATGGTAGCTTCAATTTTATGAACCTATTACTAATTTAGTACTTCAGCTATGGAACAGAAGTCAGCTAAATTTTTAGAACAAGAAACTGGCAGAAGCATGTTCCGTTCAGGGAAGTTTTGGAGTCATGGTGTCTAGAGGACTAATTAGGAAGGAACTGCAGTAGTCATGCCTGAAGGTAACGGAACATGAGCACATGTCTTGTGTGAAGGAGACAGCCAGGACTATGCTGGTAATGTTCTACAGATGGTGAAAAAGCTTGGTAATGTTTTAGAGAAATAGTTCACTAAATAGAAAGTCCAGGATATAGCTTGATACAAATTACTGCCTCAAGTCTTAATCCAGGACTGAGTACAGTAGAACTGTATTTAGGAGATGAAATCCAGGAAGTTTTATGGAAGTGTTTCTAGACATGTAAATGCAACACGTATTTTTCAGCACATTAAGCTTCAGTCATCACTCCCCAGTCAAAAAGTGATATTTAGTAACAGCCTGACAGATGTGTTAAGCACAAGTGTAACACAAGAACAAGTGCTCAGGAGAGTGGAGGTACTTGTGCAAAATGACTGTGTGAGCAAATGGGCATCTGGTCAGATCCAGCAACTCCTCATCAACCTCTGGCACCTGCTGGGGCCTATCCACCAGCTTTCCTTCACGGCAGCTGCACAAGCTTCCCAGCATCTGCAGATGTCTTGCATCTGCCTTGCTCAGTCCCCTTCCAAAAAGGTGCTGGTTTTTCCTTGCTACTTTCTTACAGAGCTGAGGTAGGAATCAGCTACTCTCATTACTCTCCAGTAATTTTCAGTTCAGAACTGTGTCAGTCACACAGTTCTCCAAATACCAGAGACAAAAATCACCAAAGGTGATTTTCTGGGTGCACTGTGGCATGTTTATAGATTCACTGATTTAAAATCTGACTATTCTTAAGACAATTTTTTTTCTGTAGAATTTACAGTAGACAAGTTGTGAAAGATCTCTTGATAACTTGTGAATATTTATTATATTCAAAACCTCGGTCTGCATTTACTTTATCAAGAAATATGTATATATATACTTAAAATGTACATAAATATGTAGATAGCTCAGGTTATTATCTAAACCTAAGTAAGCCCACTCACCCATGTGAATATACAGTCTGAATGCACTGAGGTAGGCACATGTTTCTAAGCACAAGCTTTTATCTTTGCCCAAATAGACCAAGACACAAGAAAAACCAACACAGTTTTAAAAGAAAAATAAATCAAAAACATTTGACAAAGTGTTTATACCACGTAAACTCTTTTTGCTTTATAAATCTTACAGAAAACAGGTATCTTGTTCATTAGTTCTCTTTCTCTATCAACAAATGTATGTAAAAGAACAGATATGATAATTTCACCTATTTTTCCAAACTGGTTAGAATGAAAAGCAACTGTCAATGCTTTGTGAGAGAGGAAAGCAATCCTTACACTTCCTGTCAAGGAGCTGAACTGAAGGAAGAAAGTATATCACATAAAGCCGGTAGTCTGGATCATATGCCAGAGGGTTTTGGAATAGGCCTGCAAAACGTACACAGAAAAGAAAAACAATGTTACAAAAACCCAAGCCCAGCAAAACAACAACTTTGCAAGGCAGGAAAATTAAAGGTGACTAGGAGCCATAGGTTTTGTACAAAATACCAAATTCAAATTGTTCTTCGGCTGGGTAAACAAAGTAGTCTCTTTACACACGTGAAGTTACTCATCTAAACATGGAACTGACTTACTGCAGAGTGTGCAAAATACCACAGGCAAGAACTGAGTAAAGGTGTCATCATGCACTCCAAACCTTTAGTTTTTGTTTATTTTTTAAGATCTACAGAAAAAAAACATAAGTGTTTGCTTTGATTTTCTTATGTATTGTTAGGCAATGCCTATTTTAAATAGCAATGGTCTTTAAGGTGTGACAGCTTAAATGTAAGACACAAAATTTGTAGGAGGATGGAGTTATTAATATCAGATGAGCTTTAGGACACCTAAGACTTTATCAGAGCTGATAAAAGGCTATATCCCACAGATACAATATGAAATGCAAATACACAGCCTTCTGATATTTTGAAAGATGATGAGTTTGAAAACTCAAGAAATGTAAGAGAAAAATCTTTCAGAGGGCCTAAACTCCTAAGGACCTGGGTCCCAGTTGCTTTCCTTGAGACTGGAGATACCAAGCTCCAAAAGCCCATTAGTAACTTGGCTGAAATGTTTATGTTCATGTTCACATTACCTGTATAACCAAACCTGTGCAACACAGAGACAGGTATCAACCCTGTGCTGCTGCTTTGCCAGGTGTGGAACGTTAGCCTAGCCAAATTAGTTTGTTTAGTGACAGGGATACCAGAGGCTGATTAAAATAGAAACTGGCTTACTCACAGATGAGACAATAAACAAATGTTTATTACTCTTTTCTATAACACTTTTCTAAATAAAAAACATAATAATGCTTTTTATCTCCTTACACAAATGCTGTTCCTCTAAGACAGTATAAATAATCAGGAGGCTGTCACCTTGAGACCAGAGCAGGGGAAAAAATCTTAAATTAGTAATTTTTACAACTACTGTCTACTGTGGCTAATACTTGTTCTAGGGTAAAATAATTACGTCATTTTAGCAGTTAGAGAGAGGAAGATGGTATTACAGAAGCAAGTAAGAGATAGTAGAAGAAAAAAGTCTGAAAATATTCCACACAGATTTGTAAACTACAAGATGCAATTTCATGTTCTTCAGGACAAAAATGACTCCCGTGAGGGCTCAGTGCTTGATTTAGCAGGTATTTTGAAGATGCAACTTCAAGGCTAGAATGAGCATTTGTCCTCTCCTACATAGAAAACACCTGTTCATGCATTCAGAGGATAACTTTTTATTTTAATTCTTTAACAACTCTTTTTAAATCGCTGCACTTAAAATTAGTAAGACACCCACAAGGTGGCAGCAAAAGAAAGTTCTATTTTAACTGAACAAATTTTTCCTAGAAAGTGTTAATCAGAAGGAATATTATGTATATACCCGTTAAGTCTGTTCTTGAGTCCAGAAAATATACTATAGCACTCCAAAGAGAAAAATGTTTCTGAAAGCTCTCTAAAAGCAGGTATGTTTGGTAGTGGAACAGAATAAAGGTTCAAGAGAGATTTTTCCAAGGCACAAACCAGGTCTGATATTAAACATTTGTGAATCTGGATGCTGCTTGGACTACATCCCTGCTCAACAACACTGATTTGTAGGTTTGTTTTAGAGAATGTACATTTTTCTACTACTCATTTTTACAATAAATTCAACCATTGTACAGATCAAGATGGTTTTGTTTTACAAAACATCTGGGATCAATTCCTGGCTGAGCTATCTACTTTCTTGTCAAGGTCATGCAATTTTAGTTCTACAAATTAGGATAATGCTTTCTTCCTCCACAGTTTTGTCTGTTTTCTCTATTTGGAGTATAGGAAAACAGTGTGCCTCTGCCACATGGGGCAGAAACATAGTGAACAAGAGAGTTTTCTGAGGTCTGAGTTTTCTGAGCAGGACAATAAATCAGCTGCGGACAATAAATCAGTTGAGGCAATTTACAGAGTACGTAACTAAAATCTTGGATTCCAAAAGGGAGATGTGAGCACAAGGTGAGCCCATAAAGAAACACTCTGAATCTCCCAAAAGGCAGTTGTAAGCAGCATGTGCAGTAAATCTTTTGAAGCTGAGTGTCTTCCCTAGACACCTGATGAAGGATGGTATGCTACACATCCAGTGCAGGGCAGTGGCTAAAATCACGAGAGAGCCTTCAGGAAGAGAAATGCAACATTTTGGCAGCTCGATGCTACTCCTGAATTGAACAATAATAGTGTGTTTTAATATTGTTCTATTGTCTCCAAGAGCTACAAAATAATAAAATGTTGTTAAGCATCCAGGAGCTCTACTGATGGCTAGCAAGTAATTTTTTTTTTTTTTTTAATTAGGATTGGCAATAAAAAAGATCTACGTTATAACAGTGAGAAGTCTCACTGGTTTTGTTTTATAAAAGTGAGTTATGGGCACAGCTCTTTTCAAAGCTACACAGTGCAAATTCTGGACCCATTTAATATTTATTAATATTGCAAGAAGGCAGATAAATTATATAGTAATACAATATATAGGATATGACTTTTTAAATAAATTTTGTTAATTTACTGATTTAATTTACTTCAAATATGACAAGGCATTTTATTAAACCCATAGAGACCTGTTAATTAGAGAATTCATTATTATGAAATCTTGAAGCAAACACATTGACAATTTTTTTCATGACTGCAAAGGTCAAGAAGAAATGACTTTAAAGTTATGGTTATTAGGTTGTTAAGCTTCTTTCACTGATTACTATTTACTTTTGTAAAAATCTTTGAACTAAACAACTATTTTTTTTTTTTAATTATGGTAGATCACTATATTATATATATTGTTTGATTGTTCTTTCAAACATTTCCTTTTCTATGGTGGTAGCCTGTCCAATTTACATCAAATTTTCACTGTGCCTTTTAAACTGCCATTTATGATAACTCAGCAGCACTTTAACTATCTCCTATGTATTTCCCACAGACGGTTGCAACAAGTACAACGAACTTTCTGTGCTTGTTGAAGCTCCTTATTAATTTTTAGAGCTAACATTAAACTCAAGTGACTGCACCATTCATACATAGGATGTCTCTCCAGATGCTGCCTAATCACTTCAAACAACTGCATTCTTAAATGGACTAATTTTTCTTTCTTGCATATAATGAAAATAATTTCAATAGTTAGGCTGGCATGTTGTCTTCCTAAACACTTGATTTGTTTTTCTTAGTTTTAGTCCAGGGTCAAGTTCAATTAAAAGTTTAATTTTTCATTCATATTTTCCTTTCCCACAATCAGACATTCAGTTTTCTGAATGCTTAAGGAGCTTTGATAGCCTGGTAAGATTCTGACATTCACCACCTTTACCATGTCACCAAGGCACAAAACTTGTTTACTGTCTTCTCCAAGTACTAAGCATTTAGCATGACCTATGTTGACATTCTTTTAGGAATCATGGAAAAAGACTGCTTATATTTTCACTTTCAATATCTTAATAGCACATAATCCTACCTTCCCTGGGGGCTACTTCTTACATTGTAACTTAGTGGCACCAACACTGTTTTGTATCATTTCATTTGAAATTTCAGAGATGGTGCTATTTTTATCTTCAGCCAGTGTATCAGAAAGTATGCTCCTTAACAGCTATTGTTATGAATAATACCTAAAGTACATTTATTCCTAGACTCTAGAAATCCACAGTCTGCCAAAAAGATGCAGAAAGGAAGTTCTATAAGAGAAGAGAATTAATGAGGCAGGAATTTGGGTTCTATAATCTATCACTCTCACTCTCAAGAGCAGTAACAGCCATTTTCCAACTCTTTCACCTCTATGATAATCTCACCATACTCCTGTGTTCCATTACAAAGAGGCAGCTGTAAACTGCTTAGACACCCTCCAAGCTACTCATCCAAGCTACTGGCTAGCCAGCAGCCAAAAAGTTAACTTCTGAACTCACTTAGCAGTTTTTCCTCAGTTGAGGTACTCTTAGTGGAATTTTCATGTCTTATAGATCTCTTTCTTCTGTCAAATTTGGCTGAAATTGCTAATTAGCTTCAAAAGCTATTGGCAAATGATGCAGAAATAGACAAGAAATGTCCTGATAAGAAACTAAAAAGCTACTACTTGTTGTTCTGCAAAATAAAAATAAGGGATTACTTAGAGTCTGCAAGCTTATCATTCCTTTCAATTCCTTCACTGTTTTGCCAAGTTTTTTTAACTCGTTGTTGTGAAGAAACAGAATCTGTAATGAGCATAAGTGTTTCAGAGCACCTGAAATAAAATGAAAAATAATTAATCATTTTCACCGTAGCTGCTTTTATTAGAACATTATTTTGCTGTGTTGTACACTGAATTTGGTATTTTAGTTAGTTATCTATCTATGCCTGTCTTTTGGTAACATATTGCATGAGATGTTAATTAAAACTATAAATGAAAGATATTTCAATATCCTTTTCACCTTTTTAGTCACATCCTTTAAACACATGCCTAAATTTTTTCATTCCAGTTTTTTCCATTTGTCCACATCACCCTTGCATCAACCAATCAGCCTCAACTGCAACTTCTCTTCTACCTCCCTTCATTTCTACCATAATCCTGTAATGTTTGGTTAATTCACTTCCTTTGACCTAGTATCACTTTTGCCTCACAAACAATAGTATATCCCTAATACTACCTTTGTCTCACAAGTAATAAATAGTGAATTCCTTAGAAAATAGTTCCATGTCAAGTAATTATTGATGTATTAAAAAGGTATTACAAAGTATTATTTTGATCCAGACTGTGTTCACACCCTCACACAACATCAAGATTAGAAATCTCATTTTCTAAATTATATACAGTATTTTATCCAAATTTCTCTATTAATGATACCTTTCTGTTTACCCATATTTTGTTATCATCTGTATTGTCTGTTGTATCCAACAACAGTTGTGTCTTTTTATGTCTTTCAAAGATAAAGTTTGCTTGAAATGTCACGGAAACTAATCAACACCATTTCTCATCTCAGCATTTTATAGGGACAGAAAAAATAAAATATTAACATTTAAAATGTCTAAAATATTTAGAAATGTGTTATGCTTTGGCCTGTTCATTCACAAATTCACAAGTCTGGTAAAGCCATTTTAATCTACAAGGGCAAGCAAAACTAAAATAGAAGTATAAGACATGCATTTTTAAAATAAAACAAGTTTGGCAGTAACTTTGCAAAATACTTTTGGTTATAAATTCTCAGCATTAAATATGGTCACATAAGATCAAAAATATTTCACAATTTCCTGACATAAAGTGAATTACATTTCATCCCTTAGACCAGAATGAACACATCACCTTATTGCCACTCAAGTATGCTGGAAAAATTTAATATCTAATAATTAATGTATATTAATTATGCATACATGGGAGCTTTCTACCAATAAGTTACGTGCTGTCATCCAGTTTTATAAATTTGAATGCCAATACAGAAAAAAGAAAGCATAGGCCTCAGCTCAACCTAAAAAGGGAAGATTGGTACCTGATATATCTGTCAGCTCATTATTGTTGAGATAGAGTTCAGTCAAGTAATAGTTTTTGATCAAGAAGTTTAAATCTTGGATCTGAAATTAGAGTTAGGCAAACTGTTATACGTCACTCTGAATGCAGTGTTGGAGAATTATAAATGTGGCCTCTAGAAAACTGTTTAACCACAGGTAGTTTCTTATATTTCTGTTTAAGACTCTTGGTTTAAGGATTCTCTTGACAGTTGAGCATTCATTAGAAATACTAATTGCAAATCAAATACAAGCAGTACAGCCTTAACTAATTTTTGGAACCACAGATTTAACGCTGTATTTGGAAACATAATTCCTTGGATGACTGGTCTCTACATTTTCTCTTACTTCTTTTCATATTTGAAATCATTTTTATTAAGAAAAGACCCTTGAAGAGCATAATAATTCGATGTTGGTTTAAGAATATTCCTGAAATATATCATTGGAATAAACACAGCATCTTGTTCTGAAATTATATTTTCACCAGTAGGTTCAAAGAGTACAAATTTGTTCTAATTTACCAGAAATGTCATCTAATCATATTTAGAGAATCAATTAGAGTTACAGAAAAAAATATCAGCACGTGTATGGGTGCATTCCCAATAAAGAGTTATCTTCAGTCCCTATGGAATCACACCTTCTTGTTTTGAGAAGCTCAATTCCAATACACCTTAGACTCCAGTGCAAGGCAAAGGATCTGCAGTGGGATAGCAAGCTGACCTTGATAGTCACGGAAACTGGGAGTACTAATGGTGAAGTTTGTACCCTACAGTTAAAATGAGAATGACAAACAGAATTTCATTCCTGACTCTTTGAATTCCGTGATGAAAAGTAATTTGTTAGGAAAGGAATTATTTCAGTCCTTGAATTTTTCCACTGACTCCAAAATAAATGGGCTTTGCTCCATGCATTAACAGTATCTGAAAGCTGGAAGGAAGAGCGTAAGACAGAAGTTTTTTCACTCCCCTGTACAGTGGTTTTCCCTATTTTTTGGCAAGTTTTGTTTTCAGAATCATCCAAAGTTTTCTTTTTTTCTGATAAAATTATTGAGTACAGAAAAATATGCTCCTCCTATTGAGGCATTTAAGTGAGACTTTTCCTATGAAAAGCCACTGAGTGACCTTTCCACACAAGTTAGATAGAGCAACAAAATAATGTTCTTTGTTATTGCTTAGGTAGAAAAGTGAGAGTTGTGCAAAACTCCAATTTATTTCTCTTTTTTGATCAGCAAGATCAGTTCTGCTTAGTCAACAGCCATTCCTTCTTTTTTTAATGGCATTTAGCTATGTGAGGAAAAGCCTTATTATATCTGTGATTTTAGTTCAACATTTTAATATATCTATACATTAGCTCTTTTCAATAGTCAGTAAAGTAGAGATCTTTTGATGAATTGGACATAAGGTGCCATATAACTGATGCTGGCCTGGGGCAGCAGATATACATGTGCTCTGAAGTGACAGGAAATGTAAATTTATTTTTTCTGCTGCTCACAGATCTACTTATTTAGCTAAGCAAGCAATTCTGGAGATTTAACAATTTGGGCTCACTGTGGAAATCATGCAAAACTACTGTACAGTAAAATATTCCTACCCTGTCATCCCTAGAACTGCAGTGCTGCTTCCTGTGCACAGGGAGAAGCTCATTTCACAGAGTTTTATGTCACTCTTGTGTGCTTGACATCAAAAAGGAGCCTCACCTCGACCACAGCCTGCCAGGAAATAAACTATACATTTCTGCAAGGATGTAAAAGAAGAGCGATGCATTTCCTGCAATCCTGTCCTACATTCACATCACCCCTCAGTCTGTTCCAAAAACTGTCTGCTCTAGTTACACTGGGAGCTCAGGAATTAGAACAAAACCTCATCTTCTTAAATAAACAAAATTAATAAATCTGATGTGAATCTAAAGGAAAATACACTAGCTTATACTCTGTAATGTAAATTTTTAAAAAAGCTTTCTTCAAATCTGTTAGATTTGACAGTTAAATTAGCCTGGAAATTAAGAATAATTTATTTGTTTGACAATTACATAATACTTTATGCTAGACAAAAACATAAAATAATAATCGGGGAGTATAGATTGAGCATTGTTCTGCTCTTTAAAGGAATATCTTATTACCTTATTGTTGTTAATCCACAAATATCTTAATCTGCGGAACTGTGATAGACTGGGAATACTTCTTAGTCCTCTGGTGGAAGAAAAGAAAAGATTAACAAATTTCTTAACATTGTGTGCTTACTAATTCTATGAATATTTTAATTTTCCATAAATGATACACAAGAACTAGAAAGGCACACTTCCTTAGAATATGTAGCAGAGAAAGACACAAAGAAAAGATGGCAGAGACAGTGTAAGCACCCTGCACACCTGCAAACATAACAAGGCAGCAGGTGGTAAAGAAACAGGAACAAAATAGGTGATACATTAATTGCTTTTCCATAACAGCATGAGTTATGAGTCTGAGTGACATGTACTTTGCAGTGTGTAGAAATCCTGCTCAGAACACAGGACGAGAAGTTTGGCACCCTGGGGACATGAAGCTAAAAGCAAAACTCCTTTGAAGGTGCAGCAGGAATGGTCCAGCCACAGTGCCAGAGAAGCCAACAGAAGACAGATATCAAGCACAGCACTGTGCATTTTTTATTATTTTTCATATTAGCGTATATTGTGAAATATTTTGCCTTTTTTCCACTCCTGTCCTATTATCATAGAAACTTAGCACATCCACTGAGGTTGAAATGATCTCCCACACATTAGTATGTTTTTATGTTTCATTGTGTATCTAGCACTTTGAGCTTGCTAGTGTACTATAAATAAAAAATTACCTACTGACCATCACCAAAATATTAGTGAGCTGCCAAGTGACTTTAACTAATTGCTCTTCTTTATTTCATTGCTATAAATAAATGTTCTTAATTTCCACTAGAAAAATTATAGATTACTTTTACATTCTTTAATTGCCATAATAAAAATTTCCCTGTGGATTTTAATGTGTTGCAAGATGAAGGCCAGTGTTTCAGAAAGTAACAGGACCAATAAAAATTAACCTCACATCACCAGGCTAAAGGTGTGTTTGTTTTCCAACTGTGAAGTCTGGTCTCTATCTTTCCATGTTGTCTTTTTATTTGTTGGGTTGTTATTTTTCCAACACACCCTCCAGGTACAGACAAAGGGAGGGTGGATGCCTTTTCTCATCTTGCTTTCACAAATGAAAAGTCTGTCAAGAGCAAACCCTACAAAGTTAAGGTGCTGTACTTTTAGTCCCTTGTATTACTGAAAATCAGATTATCCTCTCATGTTGTCACTTTAAACTGTTTATTTGGCTTCCTCAGATAAGCCATAAAAACTAACCCTGCAGCTTAACGTCTACTGTCACAAATAATAGAAAATGACATTACTGCAAGTAGCAGGGACAAGCAGATGGCTGTTGACAGGACATACAGAGCTCCTATCTAATTCTTCTGTGCATCCCTGAACTACATTTCAGGTAGCAAAGCCAAAATTTCTTATATTCTTGGTCACTGCCACTCTATAACCAGTTTACAGCTTCACATTTAATTGGCTTTACTCCCTGTCTAGTAACAGCCTCATCTTGACTATCTCCAAGCCTCAATCTGTTGGTTTTTTGATTTTGGTTTTTGTTTTTTTCATATTAAGGCATTTAATTTGCCCCAGGTAGAGCTTAATTCTTCTAACATTTTAAAAGAGCCTGTCCTTTTCTAGATATTTCCAGACTCTGTATGTCTTTTTTAAACGGATCCATTTTGGCCTGCAGCACTATTTTTCTACCTACTGCTAAGTTAATCAGTTTTCCAGGGATGACAGCTTCAGTGTCCAAAATACATTGTTTAATAGCAGTGGTTTAAAAATATAAACTCACTCCCTTCTATTTGATTGACTTTAATTATTTTTTTTTCATTTCCTTATTTCAGCTAGCAGAAAAATATGTCAAACCAACAGTAAAGGAGGCATGATCTGATACTGAGCTTGGCTGAGGTTCAAGTTCATATAAACTGATACAGAATAAAAGGAATTCACTTCTATCCAATCATTAAAGAATCCATCTTGCACCATCTTTACCAAAATCGTTTAATGGGAAGACAGATCACTCCTGTATCTGCCATTTTTTTTATTCTATACCAAAAAAAAACAATACTTGAAAGTCAGTGAGGGCACACATTTAAGCATTTAAAAATAGAAAATATGCGAATTAAGACTGTATGCACAGTCTTAATTCTTTACATGTGTGGTATAATAATTGTATTGTTTAGTAAGTATGCACCTTGTAATTTTCTCATTATTTAAACTTCTGACTTAAATTTTACCTTTTTTCTTCTTTCTAAAATGCAATTTTTTTAAAAAATTGACAGTAACTATATGTTTTACTTCACAAAACACAAAATACTTTCTCAGTGTAAATTAGGAGATGTGATAAGGAATTTAAACATATTAGTGAGCACTACTCATTGGACCAAGAGACCTTGAAAACCTTGTCCCTGAAGTATTAAACTATGTTAGTTTTTCTATATGCTATCAACCATGTGAGCAGTGGATGCAGTTGTGAGGCTGCAGACAGGTATGCAACACTTGGAATTGTGCCCTGGCCAGAAATTCAAAGCATGCTTTCCCAAAACTTTGAAGTATGTCCTGTCATGTATCCATCCCTCTATGGCAGCCTCTCAGCATGTTCATATTACAACATACACCTCTATCAACCTAGATCACCCACAGGTTCATGAAAGCTTTGCCTTCCTTCACTTAGCATGTCATCTCCTCATCTGCCCTACATCTCAAGCTGTTTCATAAAACTCTCAGAGGAGATCAGCTCTCTCATCAGTAATGCCTGCATGAAATAAGTATTCTTGTGCTTGTATTCACTTCATGTTGCCCTGCCCTTCCTTCAGTTCTTAGCAGTACAGATGCAGGTAATCTCAAAGGTGGTACCAGTGAGTTTTGCCATTGCAGTAACACATTTCTTCAGGGAGGTCAGAAATTTGGCAGTTCTTAGACTGGGCAGGCCCCGTGTTCTTTCATTTGCCTTCTTGATACTCCTTCCACCCAGCCTTACAAGCCTGTTAGAACAGGCAGGGATCAGCCCATCAGGTCTCATTCCTCTGCTCCCCATGGCAGAAATTAATGTACAACTCTGTGAATTCACAGACCCTCAAGCAACTCTGGATTGCTGGAGACAGACTGTGCATCTAGGGATGAGGCTGTTAGCTGTGAGCTCAGCGCTGCTGTGTGTCAGTGCACCTTCACCACTTCATTCACAATATGTATAGATAATGTAAGAATACGATTTACTGGTATTTCACATATAAATGGTGTTCAGAGAGTTCCTGATACAGAAAGCACTATGAAAGATTACAATTTACTGTGTGCTCTACTTTTGGTAAAAGTCAAAACAAGAAATATTTTACTTACTGTCTAGCCAGATACAGTGCTACGACATCCACATTGCTCCTATAGCCACAGATCTTCAGCTGGTTTTCTATTGCCTGACAGTATACAGTACCTTTGTCAGTATAATATGCTGCATCACTATGGATTCATTACATTGTAACATATGTGAACTCTGTGCTTAAAGTAATGTGCAGACCAAAATTAATACATGTATCACAGCACCTTGCAAACTGTAACGTAGTCAAAGAGAGATAAAGAAGTATCAAAATTCCAGTCTCTATTTTAAATTGATAAGAATACTGTGGTGATTTGGCTACACTAATTTTCTTTTCCAGTGGAGAATGGTAATTGGTAGACACGAAGTGAGAAATTAACATGCTAACTGGAGAATGGGCTTCTCACTCAGCTCAGTTAACCAGTACTTAGCAGAAATAAGGAAACTGCTTACTGTACTGTAATGCAACTTTATTTTATGCAGCTTTACTTTAAAACTGTGCACATGACCTTTTAAAACTATGCATCTAGAAAACTCTGCTTGTAAATTTAACATTAAAAAATGCAGACATGATTTTTATTTTCAGAGTACATTACTGATGTGTGATAACTTGCAAAAGCAACAAAACCCATTAATATAAGAATGATGGATCTCTCTTACTAGTGGTTGATAAAAACTGTGTATCAGAAAAAATGGGTTTAATACATGAGCTATTGTGACCAACATCATTATGATCACTATTATTTAAAGTTGATACAACTTTACAAGTACAAAATGGCTTGGAAGCATTGACAGGCACGTTGAGAGTGGCCTGTATTGGCTGCACAACCACTCCAGCGTGTTCTGGGTGTACTAAAGCTACACAAAATAACTTGCCAATGTGTGGGACCTGTGGCACACTGACCAGAGGCAGGCAGGCACTCGCAGGCCTCTTGTTCCACAGCGGCTGTGTGGGCCCTGCCATTTGCCCAGAATTCGGCACGGCCAGCTGTCAGCTGCAGCTGTCGGGTAGGGGAAAGATCTGCCATAAATGGCCATCGTTTTGTTTCTACACGTGCAAAATCTGCCCACGGAAGACCAAGAGAATTCTGGAGAAAAGCAGCTGTGAGACACCCTGAGTGTGCGGATGTCAGGCCCGGCACAGCGGGACACACCGATGGGGAGTGCCGAAGTGACGGCGGGGAAGGCACACCTACGGCAGAGAGCACCAATCCCGGGTGTCACAGTCAGGAAGGCTGTGCTCAAACATTCGCATTTCGCATGCGAGATCTCATCCTCTCCCCACCCTGGAGCCCCGTTCCTGTCGGCCCCGGCGGGGTCCGCACGGCTCAGGCGTGCTCAGCTGCTGCCTAGGAACGACAGCAAGGCCTGCTCCGGCTCTCTCGGAGGATCCGAGCCGCTCGCTGCAGCCCCGGGGCCGGGCGGGGGAGCCGAGCCTTCCGCCGCGAGAGTACGGAGCCCGCCTCGCCTCGGGGTGCGGTGGCCGTGCCGACCACAGCGAGGGGACGAGGCTCGGGCCGCTGGGGCCGGGCCGGAGCGGGGCGGGGAGCGGCCGGGGCGGGCCGAGGGGACAGGAGGGGCCGCGCCCGCTCACCTGCCCGCCGGCCGTGGCGGCCGCCGCCATCTTAGAGCCCCGCTGTGGGCGGCCGCAGGGCGGGATCGCGAGACACGGCCCGGGCCGGGCTGGGCTTTCGGGGCCAGTGTCCCCAGCGCGCCCTTAGAATCACCGAGTCAGTTTAAGAAAGTACTTCTGGGATCATCAAGTCCAATCTATGACTGATCACCACCACCTCAACTAAATCACGCCACTGAGTGCCACATCCAGTCTTTCCTTAAACATCTCCAAGGACGGTGACTCCGCCTCCTCCCCGGGCAGCTCATTCCAATGTCTAATCGCCGTTTTTGTGAAGAAATTATTTCTTCCTCTGGCACAGTTTGATTCTGTGTCCTGTGGTCCTGTCGCTGGTTGCCTGGGAGAAGAGCCTGACCCCCACCTGGCCACAGCCTCCTTTCAGGCAGTGTAGAGAGCAGTAAGTTGTCCTGTGAGCCTCCTTTCCTCCATGCTAAACATCCACAGCTACTTCAGTAACTTCTCATCAGACTTGTGCTCCAGACCCTTCACCACCTCACTTGCACCTCGGCGTCCTTCCTGAACTGACAGTCCCCAAACTGGACAAAGTAGGAATGGTGTAACACTGAAATGGGAGCCCCAGCCTGGGCGTGATTCAAGACAGGGCTTCGTGCTGGGGAAGGAGCTCAGTGGCGAGCGAGGGGTACCCACACCTGGAGCCAGGACTCGGGGAGGGATCCTGGGTGGGCCAGCGAAAGACCCCGGTGGGCAATGGCTAAAGGGAACTGGGAGAGACCTCTGATACCTCTGGGCTGTCTCTTGGATCATATTCACTCACAACCCAGAAAAAAGTGTGCTTGTTTGCTTTGTTGTTGCTGTTGTTGTTGTTTTTAACTATATTCCTGTAGTTTCTTAAGCATGGGTCCTATGGCCATGTATGTATATCACAAAATCACAGAATTAATTAGGTTGGAACAGATCTCTCAGATCACTGAGTCCAACCAATGACCAAAACCCACTATGCCCACTAGACCACAGCACTAAGTACCACATCCTGTCTTTCCTTAAAAACCTTCAGGGATTGAGACTCCACCATCTCCCTGGGTAGTCCATTCCAGTGCCTAATCACCCTTTCTGTGAAGAAATTCCACCGAAATACATGTCACTTATAAAGAAAACACTTGTGCATTTAATTTACAGCTAATTCACACCGTATGTATTACTCCCTTGCAACTTGCAAATCACCTTGGTGCCTGAGAGCCCCGTGCTGGCTCCTGGAGTGGGCCCACTGCTGCGACAGTGCTTTGGATTGAGTTTGGTTGTAAAGGAACACAAAATGTTTATGACATCCACATGTGCAAGCAACTGTTGCCATGTTGCTATTTTTATAACCATTTTACTGCATAGCACAAGCTAAAGAATAGAAAAAGCCATTTCCAGTGTGTGTGTGTGCACGCACTCATGCTCAAGTAGGACAATAGAAAATGTTTGATCAAGCTACAACAAAAATATGTCTGAAAACTTGGAGCTTTATTTAGAATTTAATTTACGTGGAGTACTCAAGTTAGCAGAAATAGTCATTGTAAATTATGTGTAACTGATATACAAAGAACAAGAGTTGTGTGTGCAAATATATGAATAAGCTGTCCCTCATGGAATTAATTATGTGCATGCCTTTGCTTGTTCAGACCACTGAAGCTAGATGTAGTGTGTATGATGGAGGAATGGAACTACAGTACAAATATTATATTGCAAATATCTAATTTTCATGGAAAAAATTCTGTGGGTGGCTTCCATTTCAGCAAGGTAGCTTTAAATAAACAGAGACCTCAAATAAGAAAACTAGACATGTTAAAGATCTAAAACTGACAAGAGAAATTCCTTTAATCCCTAATTTTAGCTTCTAAAAATATCTCTAGGGTATTTAAAATCATGAAAAGAGGAACTGTAATGGAGAAGAAGAAACTGGTACCGAATTCTGTATTTTTTCATTCTACATTCAAGTTCAGTGTTTTCAATCAACAAGATAGAGCTACCAGTTTAGAATTGTGAAGGGCAAAGTAGTTATTAAAGTCATGTTTAATAATAAAAGTGAATTTCAACTAGTCCAATTAACATGATAGGACAAGAAAATTCAGTAATTGAGTATGGGGGAGAGAGAGAGAGAGAGAGAACCTCTGGAAGGCATTTTTTTGTTATATTCCCTCACAGAGATGTGATGTACAGGAGGTGAGGGAGGGTTTTTTTTAATATGTTTTGGGGTTTTGAAGGGCTTGTCTCTATTAGCAACTGGTAGCTACAGACTTAATCTGTATGATTAAATAGAGACTGTCTCAAATTAATTTAAGTTAATATCTATTTCTTTCTGCATTTACAAGCTGATGCTTAAAATCTCCAATGAGTTTAAAGAAACTTGGGCAGAAAATTAATATTTTTTTATTCAGACTGAACTGTCACCATATTTTACACTCTCTTGGTATTGGATTTTTTCCAAAATAGGTAGCCTATCGCTTATTTATTACTATTCCTGAATTGCTGTCCATAAGTGAACAAATGATCATTTTTCCTCTGAGTTATTCAGAATAATTACTTGCTATACATATTTTTGAAAAAACTTCTCATATTTGTATAGTAAAAATACTTAATGGATATTATGCATGGATAAGCAGTTGCAACAAGACAACGTGACCTTATAGTATATGATAACAGGACACAGAAATAGGGGAAAGCACAGACAGATGTGCTTTTACTGACAAAGGTGATAGGGCAGAACAGGAAGTTACTGATTCATCATCAGGCTACAGGTGCCTTGGGAAGTGACACCTTTTCTCCTCTACTTCAGAGGCCTCCTGGTATGTCCATGATTCAGCCACACATCAAGGATATAGGAGATTGTAATTGTATTGCTTTAGAGACCACATTATAGAAAAGCCGATTTTCTAGGGACAATAAAATTCAGATTAAACCTGATGTAAAGTGTAACATGTCTCTGTTTCTTGTTGTTCCGTCACTCACATGCTTCAGCATCTCTGGGGAAAACTCTTCTGTGGAAGAGTTTTATCACAGTCTAGCTACTGACACTTGGACAATAATGATTTGCTGAATCATTCTGCCATTGTTTTATTTCCCAATGATTTTAACAGTACTTTACTGAAAAACCAATAGCACAATAGGTCTTTGTGACTTAACCTGTTGTTCAATGGCTGTGAAAGATGTAATATACTAAAACCAATGCCTAATATGTGATATTTTTAATCACCAAAGTTTATAATCTTCAGAATACAGTTATTCTTTGCCTGTGATATTAGGTACTGTGCTGAATGGCTTTTCCACAAGGGTATTTTTAAAAACTGCATCTATATTTTATAGACTCACTTAATTTACATTGGAATGGATTTCTGGAGGTCATCTAGTCCAACCCCCCCAAACAAAGTAGATTCAACTACAGAATTATTTTCCATCTCACATGTTTGTGCAGTTCTGCTACTTATAGAACATCCATCAAAGAACAAAAGCACTATCTGGGATGAATGTAAAATTACTTATGTTATACTAATGATACATAAAAATTAGTGCAATTAACTTGTTTTTGAGGTTATTAAATACATTTCAGCTGGAAAGTGAAATGCAAAATATTGCAGATAAATGCATATTTCCTTTTTTTGTCTTGTAACCGGAAATATGTTATCAGCCAGAAGCCTGAGGAAAGATCAGTAGGATATCCCACCTGCATTCCAGCTATTGCTCCAGAAGAGTGCAGTTCTCTCATAAGTCCAGTAGCTGCAAGTCCTGTGCAGATGTTTCAAATACTCAGAGCTGTCTAAAGTATTGTGGAATTTGAATCACTTCTCTCACTCATGCTATTAATCTTGCTGATGACACTGATAACATCCCAGCAACCCTTTAGCAGGTTCAGGAGCAGAATTTTGGGAGGTGGTTGTTAGTTTTTTTTTAAATAAATAATACAGTGTTGATCCTATATCTAAACAGTTCAGACTATTTTCAGTTTTAAGGTAATGATTAACTGGAATGGCTAGGCTGCTGCCTGGGAACGATTATTTAATTTTTCTAGTATTATGCATAATATAAATTAATATACTGTACACAATGGTGAGTGAAAGGAAAGAAGATAAAACAGTCCAGATGCAGCCTATAGCAAAATTGTCCCAGCAGACTGCATCATATGGATGAATCACCTTGTTTGAATCCAGATTCACTCTGACTTGACAACTGAATACTACTCTAGAGAATAAAGACCACCACCACTAATATGACAAACCTGCTGAAAGGAGGTCCAACAGTTTTAAAAATACTCTGTCTTATTTTTCTATCAACACAATTTGGACATATCTTTCATTTCAATATAGCCAACTCTAAACTTTGTTCCCTGGCCATTCTGCATGCTGGAGTGTTCCTGCAGTTTGGCTTCCAAGTCTGACCAACAGTCAGGAAAGAAATTATTGTCTGCTGCAGCTCTTTCATGGATATGTAAACAACATTCTGCAAACAACATCCATATGGCAAATGATCCCATTACTCTAGTCTCAGAAATTTACATCCTAATCTTTCAAAATGTTGTATATGCACTTCCACAATGGCTTATAGCTATTCTAATATATATATACACACTAATATTCACGGTATTTTTCATAAAAATACATATTATGCATGTTTAAAACTTTTAATACTGCTTTCTAACAAAGTTGACTACCTTAACCTTTAAGTAATAACTGTTTTCTAGAAGAATTTCTGCAGAGCTATCTGCGAGTAGAAGTCAATACTGTTCTTACTGATGATTGATCCAGTGTCCCTGTTAATTCAGAGATTTCTCTGTCAGTGAGCTGTTTTGTAACCTGCAGATATTGAAAAAAGCCCTTAACTTTTCATTTTCAAATAATATTTAATAGTGATATCTGCCAATGTAACTATCAGATGTAAACTTTCATTATTCTGTCTTTTTAATATGTTGACAGTGAGACTGTGCTTATATGGTGCAAGACTGTACCACACAGAGATGTACAAAAGCAATTCTGAATCAATTTCCTTGGGAGCTG